TTTTTTTTTTTTTTTTTAGTTTGAAAAAGGTTTTAATTTTTCCAGAATTCAAAGCACAAGTCCTGCTTTAGATAGTCAAGAGCTCAACTGCTTTGTGCAACAGATGGAGTTAGATGTCTATCAAAAGTCTGACTCTTGGTTAGATTTAAGCCATAGTCAGAGTCTATCTTTGTGAAACTGGCCCCAGGTGTCCCTGGGGACACAAACTCACCGCTTGAAAAAGACATGTTGGGTCTCCTTGTTTGTATTTTTTGCACAGCATATCTGTATTTTCTTTCAGTGACTCTCCCTTGCCTGTGACTTCACGTGTCTGTTTTGTAAAGTTCCTTGAGGCCGAGTCAGTTGGAGTTTCACAACACCTGACAAACACCGTCTTCGTGGACAGAGCCTTGATTGTGGTCCCTTTTGCTGAAGGTGGGTGTCTGTTTTATTCTCGTGTCACTCACATGGCTGTCTGTGAACGCACATCACAGTGAGTAGGAGTAGGTTCATTTAATGTAATTGCAAACACTATCTGAGCCATTGTGAGTTTTTCTGACCAAGCGAAATTAGCTAAGCTTGGCAGTTCTTGGTATGTAAACGGGAAATGTACATTTGTGTCCATGTCTTACAATCTAGCTGTAAACTTCTCTCTCTGTTATTTGTGTTGTGGTTTTCATAGTGCACAAGTCATTTGCAGAGAGCCCCTTCCTTGCTGGCTGAAAGTGGTCCTCCAGGAGATTAGAAAAAATAATGGCACCAGGCTCGCAAGCCCCCTTCTCTCTCTTGTTCTTCAGTAAAACATTAACTCTTTATTTTTTCTCTCTGTTCAAGGCATCTTTTCTTAAAACAATTAGCCACACAACTCTTAAGCAAATGAGGGGGTGGGGAGAGGGAGCAGGGCAATCTCAGTTCCTCACATTTGAAGTATTTTAATATTTGTCAAATAAATGTTTGCACCAAACTAGGGATGCCCCGAGCACATCTGTATCAAGGCAGATAGGAAATTTTAAGTAATTTGTATCAACCCTCAAACTGGGAACCGTTTCTGATCCTCAGTTTATATTTATACTTTTTGCACTCTGGATAGGCCAGTTGTCAAAAGTGTACCATTGTGCTTCAACTAGTAAATGCCAGTTTGAATTTATAATATCCACATTAACAGCATGTATCACAGACAAAAGCCACTCCCTGTATAATTGGTTATTCTAGCATACATGTAAGGTGATTTGCTGTTGCAGCAGACCCACGCTCACACTCCTCTGTCCATTGATATTTAACAACACTGTAGGAAACCAGTAAAGACTGTGCAGATACACAGGTGTTGTCAGTTACTGGCTGATTAGATCTATTTTTAGGTTCAAGTTGGGCACAGCTATGGTGGAAGTTTGCTGCGGTCACCAACCCCTAGGTGTAAATTGTCCCAACCTAACAGGTGCAACGAAACCTAGCAGTGGAATAAGGCATAGGTAAATCAAGCCCATACAGTCCTGAGAATAGGTCTGATCAGCCAAACAATTGAAAACAACTGAGGGTTAACATCTGTACTGATTGTTTAAATGTAACCAAGTACACATGGTGCAACTGGATTACAGAGGAAAATATAAATAATGGATCAAGACTTGGTATTGGCAGATTCATAGTATTAAATGACTGAAATTGGGAACAAAGATGGTCGGGACATCCCTGCATCAAGAATAAAGCATGCAATATAGGTTAAGTAATCAGCTGTGCATGCTAGACTAGATTTTGAAGGTGTGTGCCAGCATCTTCAGTTATTTTCAGCAGATGTTGTGGACATTAACATTTAATGTGGTTATTAATAAGCACAGATAATGCCTTTGGCTTTTATTTGCTTCATGTGCCAAAGCCTTGTTTTTATACTGTGCATTTGTATTCCCAAATTTTCACAAACACAAACTAAATAGTATACAGTCAGTACAGAAAGTATTCACACCCTTTCAAGTTTTCCACATTGTTGTCTTTCAGACTCCTCTCAAAATAGATTCAGTTCAATTTTTTACTCTTCAGTCGACACACAATACTCCACAGTGATGAAGTTAAAACAGGTTTTTGGAGTGTTTCTTAAATTTATTAAAAATAAAAGACTGAACTATCCCATTTCTATAAGCATTCACACTATTTGTTTTGATACTTGCAGTTGTGCTCTGGCGCATCCTACATCTGTCAATAGACCTTGAGAAGTTTCTACAGGTTGATTAGACTGTGCCTAATTTAATGTACTGGATATATTTAGGAAAGGCACATACCTGTCTCAGCCAAATCGAGTAGTCGTGGACAAAGGGCCTTGGTCAGACAGGCAACCAAGAACCCAGGGATCACTATGAATGAGATCCAGAGTTCTTTTGGAGATGTGAGAACTGTACAGAAGGACAACCATCAGAGCAGCACATCACCAATCAGGCCTGTATGGTAGAGTGGCCAGACAAAGGCCATTCCTCATTAAAAGGCACATGACAGTTTGCCAGAACGCATCTGAATGACTCTCAGACCATGAAAAACAAAATCTGCCGGTCTGAAGAAACAGAGTTTGAACTATTTGGCCACAGTTCCCAACTGCATGTGTGGAGAAAACCAGGCATTGAGCATCACCTTATTAATACCATCCTTACAGTCAAACACAGCGGTGGCAGCGTCATGTTCTGGGAATGTTTTTCTGCATCTGGGACTGGGAGACTAGTCAAAATATAGGGAAGGATGGATGCAAAAAAAAGGGGGGGCAATCCTGCATGAAGCCCTTTTCAGGACTACTCTGAAAGTCCTGGAGGGGTGAAGTCATTGGACCTGAACCCAATAGAACATCTGTGGAGAGACCTGGAAATGGCTGTGTAGCAACAATCCCCATCCAACCTGGCTGACCTTGAACAATTCTGCCAAAAAAAATTCCAAAAGAAAGGTGCCGGGCTTGCAGCTTCATTCTCAAGAGGCTGTCAGAGGTGCTTTAACTAAGTACTAAGTAAATATTTATATTTAGATATTTATTATTTTTACCAAATTGACAAAACACTCCATAAACCTGTTTTTTTTCCGCTTTATGTTTGTGGAGTTTTATATTTAGAATGACGGGTGAAAAAATCGATTTTAAGATGAGTCAGAAACGACACAAAATGTGGATAACTTGAAAGGATATGAAAACTTACTGCTTCTGCTTGATGTTGCAGTAAGATGCTTTTTTTTTTTTATTGACCCTCTCCACACATGACTCTGAAAGAGATGAATGAATCTCACATTTAACAGTGGTGTTTCTTTTGTTGTTGTGTTTTACAGTTCTTTTTCCTGGTTCAGCCAGCCCTATATACCAGGCCCTGCTGAAAATGCCACCAACAGTTTTGTCTTCTGCAGCCTTATCCTGTTTCTCAAGTGTCCTTTCTGTTGTGTGTGCGCGCATGTCTCTCTCTCTCTCCCCCTCTCCCCTTTTAAAATGTAAAAAATGTCAGATTTAAAAATAGCCTGTTTCCAGATTGCACAACCATGGATGATCATCTCCATAAGATGTTCCTTGTTATTTTACTATTTGGTTTTTCTTCAGCTTTGGGCACATTTTTCATGATTTTATCATGGCTTTTGCTGGCAGTAGCCCATAACTGTTTAGTGCAGATTATCTTGGACACAGTTTATTTTTGTGAGATGCTATTGGCTAAAATCTGTCAGTACTGTAGCCTTTTGGCAGCACTTAATCTGGTTGCCAACTAGGTTTTTTTTGTTTGTTTGTTTCTTTGTTAGTTTTTTTTTTTTTTTTTTTTTTGGGGGTTTTTTTTTTTTTTTTTTTTGGTCTCTGCAAAGTAACCACAAACAAAAGCCCAGAAAAGGTAAAATAACTGAACCTTTTCTGTTTTTCTATTGGTGATGGTAAGTGATGTTAATGTACCCTTGTCTACACTCAAATTATGAACTTTGTTTTCTGTATCTCAATGTTTTTGTGTGCTTTATAGCGAAGCAGCCGGCGTGAGTCGCTTGCTCATAAAACATCTAATGAAAGTTGAGAGCACATCCCACGGGACACCTGGCTGTGCTTGCTTACGTTTGGTTCATGACTTAAAAAACAAGTACAGGTGATAAAATCTTGGCAGTGTTGACCACAGTGTGTATTGTGACTTTTAAACTCATAGCTGTTAATCCTACAATCAAACTTTGGCAAAAAAAAAAAAAAAAAGAAAAAAGAAAAAAGTCAGGGATCAAGATTTACAGACAAGACAAAAGTGGATTTTTACAATTTTCTTCACTTTTCACTACGGAGTAGTTAGAATGAGGTGGCTTGTCTGCAAGTCTTGTCTGAGTGTTTATCGGTGTTTGCTTAGTGCATGCTCTGAGATTATATTTTTCTCCAGGAGTCATTCCTGATGAGTCTAAAGCTATGTCGCTGCTGGCTCCAGCCAATGCCGTGGCAGGAATGATGCCTGGTGGAGGCCTTCTCCCAACACCCAACCCTCTAGCATCAGTGAGTTCTTACATTATGTTTGCCTCTAAAGCTTTGTTTATGATCGTAAAGCTTTTTATTTTGTTTTTTTTTTTACACTTTACTGCTGTTTTCCTACTTTCCAGGCAGGCATTCATTTCAGTAACCTGTGAAATTAACCAGCACATTAAACATGCATTAGATACGTTAATCAACACACATATATTCCATCACTTTTATTTGTGAAAGTTAGCAGTGTGGCGAGATGATGTATTTACATGCACGAGCCTGTAACTTTCACATGGGGTGACTGTGGATCCTTTAACTGGACCATCTGTGGTTTGATCCCCGGCTTTTCCGATCCACATGTCGAATGGTCCTTGAGCAGGACGTTGAACCCCTAGTTTCTTCTGGTGATATAATCAGTGTGTGAATGTTTAGAAAAGTGCTATATATATTTAAGACCATTTACTTGATGGTGTGTTCAGTGACACTTCAACATTGGAATTTGCATCTACTTGCACTGATGTAAAAACTACAGCCTATAGTGATATGTTGGGCTATTTAAGATGCACATAAGACGAGTTTGGAAACCAGTGAAGCACCTTCTCGGCTGCTGAGTGAAATAATCTAAGAAACTACAATCATACTTGAGAAGTGCAATTGCATACTCTTTCTACAAAAAAGTAATAGAAGATGCACTTTTGTCAGATGGTACTGGTGATTTTCCTGCAAACAAACTGCAACATAACATCCAGAAGGTTTCTTTTTTAAATGTAATCCTCATAAATAACCTGCAAGTGTGTGGTTGTTCAAGCTCTGCTGTGTCTATTAACTGTATGTGCCTTATATTTCAGATGGGAGGGACACCATTCGGAGGCCTTGGAGCTCCTAACATGGAGCAGATGGCTGCCATGGGACTTTCAGGAGCTAACATGAGCCCCCAGGCAAGCTTGCAATCAGTCACATTCATAGTCACTGCATATTCAGTCGGAGTCAGTCTGATTTAACATCCCACTTGTCTTTCTCTCGCTTGCTCTCAGGCTCTTTCTGCAGACTTCCTGAAGCTCATGCAGTCCATAGACCCTAAGTAAGAAACCTTTTGTTTCTTCCATAGTGTGCAGTTCAATGAACCTAAATATATTTTGAGAAGAGTCTAAATAACTGATGGTATTTGCAGATTGAATCCATTAGCGGCCGGACTGAATTTGAATCCAGGACTGAAAACTGATGCCTCCAATAAGGAAATTGAGGAGGCCATGAAGAGAGTCAGAGAGGCACAGTCTCTCATTTCTGCAGCCATTGAACCAGGAAGTGAGTAATCTGTTTCTTAATGTTCCCTTCACAGAAAGCTTTAGGGGTTTCAGCGCTTTAATGTACATTATGTGTGGAAATGCTAATATCCTGTTTAAGCAGTGAGCAGGAATTTAGTTCAGTAGAATGTGTGTTCAGTCATGTAAGCAGTAAGACTCTGCTACCTGGTCAGGGTTCCCACGCATCATGAACAATTTTTTTAAGCCAGTTTTCCAATTATGGAAATTCAGATAAATTGTACAAGTCTTTAAAAAAAAAAAAAAAAAGCCATCCTGGAAAATTAGTTTTAACATTTTTACATTTCTCTTTTGCTTAGAGCAAACCGTCACATTTCAGTATGAGCTATGAAATCTATCTTCTCTAGACACTTCCCAAGGATATCGTTATCCATAACGTCCATTGCCAATAAACCAAAAAAAAAACAAACTATCCATTCAGAAATTATAGGGGGGGAAAGTCAAAACTCTTCTTGAATGTTGCTGTTTTTATTATTGCTTACTTTGTTGTTAGTCAAATCAGATTGCTTTTTTAAAAAAAAAATTATTTTTAATTACGCTAGCAGCTAGAGGGTTTTTTTTTCCCCATCCTAACCTGTGATGTAAGAGACAAGAAAAACAGCAGAAAGTAAAGCTCATACATTTATTGTAGGATATTAAGTCATACGGTGAGGGACTGAACATGTGTGCGTTTGTCAAAGTGCCACAGTCGTCAATGATAAATTGGTCATAAAGCACCTTAAAGACTAGTTACTGTACACAGATGAAGTGTCATCATAGATTAATACATATAATTTGACTTGCACACAGCAACTTGTTGGTCTAGGATGTGATCTCCATTTGACATCACAGCCTTGTGTCATTGAAAATGTTCTGGAAACTTGTTTCTTGAAAAGACTAGGAACCCTGCTAGTGGATATGTAACTTTACATCACTGGTTTTGCAGGTAAGAAGGATGACAAGCGCAAACATTCCCGCTCCCGTTCGCGGTCACGGCGCAGACGGTCCAGATCTCGCTCAAGACATAGGTAAAGACATCTGCATAGCGAATTCTGCCACTGCACTATTAACATCAAGTGTGAAAACAGTTATGAGCTCTGAACATTAACAAAACAAAACAAAAAAATCTTTATCCTAATTTTGGCAGAAGTTCAAAGAGCAGGTCTCGGCGAAGGTCCCATTCGAGGAGTCGGAGGAGGTCCAAGAGCCCGCGGAGGAGGAGGTCCCACTCCCGGGATAGAAGCCGCCGCAGTAGATCTAGGTCAGTACCTTTTAGTATTATCTTCAGTACAAAGCTAGTGGCTTTTTCTCTTTAAGAGGAACTTGCTGCTTGCACAAGTTGTGACTGTTGCATGACAGTTGAGCATAGTTTTTAATGCTGTCTTTTCTAAATACTCATTGTGCTAAATCATTCAGCTGTAAGAGCTGTCAGTACATCTACTACTATTGGCTAAGAAAATTTAATTTTGTTTATTTATGATCCCCAGCCCCTCTCTGCGTTGCTGCATGGTTGCATGAGGTCTGGGCAGAGCTCCCCACACTAAAGAAATAAATTACGGTTATTAAAAGCATTCACAATAATTATTCTGGTGCCAGTTGAGGCTAAGTTGCTGTTAGAAAAATTAAGTTGGCACTTAAAATATGCACCAATTTTTCTCTTCACAATTTTAACATTATCTGTTCATGCTGCTGTTTTCCTGTGTTGTTGACCATGCCCATCTCTTGGCCAGGGACAGGAGAAAGGAGGAAAAGTCTAAGAAAAAGTCCAAGACACCTCCCAAGAGCTACAGCAGCGCGAGGAGGTCTCGCAGCATCAGTCGGTGAGTGGTTCAAGCACAATGTTACGCCATGTCTACACCACAAGCGTTTCAGCTGTTTTTTTTTAAATGTACATCTCATGCATATCATATCATGCTGATGTGCCCCTATTTTAATTAGTCCAGCTGTCTACACTGCCTGCATATCACTCACACGTTACGTGCGTAGCTGCAACCTTAAGCCTACCTTTAGCTTCAAGTCTTATTTTTTCTGAGCTCCACACATAAACCGCTCTGCCACCAAATCCACCAAACAGTGATGACTCAGTAATTCAACCAAAAATCTATCAAATAAGAGAAATGTATCAAGAAAAACAGTTAACACATCTGTCACATCAGTCCTACTGAACATGCACTTTGTTTGTATAGCCAGTAATTCCCTCACTGCCTGTTATCTGTTGGAGATTTAAATCGTAAATTTCCCCTTTTCAGTGCTTCTCTGGCTCCTCTTTGTACAATAAACACTTCCAATGTGCGATTGAACACGAGCCTGGATACTACGCTGAAATACACGCTGTTCATATCAGGCACACCTTTCCAATTTATCAGTGCAAACTGCAGCAGTCCATAGTTTACGGTCAATACTGGAACCAAATGTAAACGTGCCGTTTAACAGGGCTTTTTTTTTTTTTTTTTCGTTTTGGGTTACCTAATTTACATTCAATGGGTGTTAGGAGGCACAGGCGAAGTCGCAGTGCATCTCGGTCCCCACGGAGGAGGCTGTCCAGGTCTCCTTCACCCAGACGGTCAGTTGTCATGCGCAATGCTTCCTCTTTTCTTCACACACACAGTCTTGAGCACAGCAATGAAAAATAATGATGTGGTGTATTTGTAATATATGCAGCCACAAGAAAGAGAAGAAGAAGGACAAGGATCGCGAGAAGGACCGTGAGCGAGACAGAAGGGACGACAGGGACCGGAGCAGGGATGAACGAGAACGCTCCAGCAGTAAGAAGAAGAAGAGCAAAGACAAAGAGCGAGATCGCGACCGCAAGTCTGATAGTGAAAAAGGAGATGTCAAGGTATGTACAGAACATGGCATTTAATATTGGCATCCAGTTGAATGTCTTTAAACTGTAGCAGGTGGCTGCGGTTCCTGTTTTTGCTGAAATATACATTTAGTTACGTCTCATGAATCAACTAATCCCAGAATTCCCTTTTCACTTTAACAAATGCCGTGACACAGGTGACCCGGGATTACGATGAAGAGGAGCAAGGTTATGACAGTGAAAAGGAAGGCGAGGAGGATGATGATGAGAGGAAAAGCGACTCTGACTCTGCATCATCCCCCAAAGGCCAGGAGGAGATGGAGAGATCAGAAGGCCAAATGCTCAAAAAGTCCAAACTGAATGGAGATGATCACCATCAGGAGGACATGGAGATGAGTGACTAAGAACAAACCAGACCGTTACCTTTCCACTGTCTTTTTATATTTTTAATGTAGGCCATGTCTGTGCCTGATCAAAGTTAAAAAAAAAAAAAAAAGTCTTAACTGTAGAAGCATTGGGGAAGGGTGTAGAAGGAAACCAGTCAAGTCACTTCTGTAAAGCAAAAACGAGACTAAAACATGAAAAACATGACATAGTTTTAAATTGTCAGTGCTGTACTTGTTTAAAGATCCTGTTTTTGTTACCTTTGTGTTCCTACTTCGTCTTCCTGACAATAGAATACACAGCACACTTGAGTGCTGTGAATGTTTAACGAGTCAGGGTCGAGTTCTTTCCTCTCACGCACCGTTCAATACTTTTTGCTTCAACTGTAGTTGACTCGGCCGACTTTCATATTTACAACTGTCATTAGTGTACACTGTAGATTGAAATGTGTTGTTACAGTACTTTGTCTGCAGTAGGTTTTCCAAAGGAAACCAATAAAACTTGGTAACACTGTCGACTTGTTCCTTCTCTGAAAGAAAAGGTGGACATAAATGATGTATTCCACAGTTAATCATGCCAGGCCACCTGGCAGCTGCGCTTGTGAAATGAATTGTACATTGAATTCAGAAAACATTCAGAAAGACTAAACATTAGGAAAATAAAACCTCATGATTTAAAAACATTGTGCAATTGAGGGGGGAAAAAAAAGCTGCTGTGTGAGAACAGAACACATTATGGAAAGATTTGTAAAACTGCACTTTACACCAATGTTACCTATTTTCTACCAACTTGTAAATTGGGCTCTTCCTGTGAAAGGTCACTTTTGGCTTTTCCTATTTAGGGGTCGCCACAGCGAATCATCACACTGACGATTCGCAGGTTGACATTTGGCACGCGTTTTATGCCGGATGCCCGTCCTGACGTAACCTGGATTCGAACCCGGGCTGCAGCAGCGGGAGCACTGCGCCTTAACCACTAGCCTACCAGGGAAGGCAAACTGGGCTCATCCTGTAATGTTTTGATAACCTGAGTGACGTCATATACTCAGTTAACTGTGCAAATAGCTTTAGTTAAAGAAGCCAATTAAGAGAAATTTTCATATAATTTTCTAGAACTAAACACTCACAGGTAACTTGGAAATTCTGCAACTATCATATTGGAAACTAAGTTACAAGGCTTCTTTCCACACAAGTTATGGCTGTGACATAACACTCGGACAGTCCAAATTCGAATGTGGAATTTTTATTTTAGTACATTTTATAAGAAAATAGTATTGTAGAGACAGCACAGTCTTTGCTGTACAATGGAAGGATAATTTTCTACAGAAAATGTAAAAGTCAAGCAGCTGAAGTAAAACGTAGCTCAAAATATGTCAGTGAGGCACAGTTCTGTTAGCTGCACTGGCAGGTACTGAGGAAAAGAATGTGGAAAATAAAATTATTATTTTTTTGGTTATTATGATGCTGAATACAAATGAGTTGTTCGGGTAATGTGGATACTGAACAACAGGGAGCCATCGGGAAACGGTCATCTAAATTCCAGGGGCAGCCAACAAACAAATAAAAGCATAACATCTAACTTATTTAAAAGCTATGAACCGCCGCAGCTAAGAAGATCTGAATGTCCCCAGCCGCCAGTGAACACCTCCTGGTCTTTCACAGAGTTTTCTTTTCTAAGTACCTTGGTACTTTTCACATGGCAGAAATAAGAGTTGGTTGCACACATCAGATAAAGTGGGATGAGGGGAAAAAAATGACAGGAGAGTTAAGAGATGAATATTTTAAAACAATACAATTACAAAAAAAACACCTGCCACCATGTTACAACCCAACAAACTCAAATTAACTCACTACAAAAAGCTTCCACAATGCTTCCTCTTGTAGAAGACAAATTAAATTTTATCAGCACAAATAATAAGTAAACAAAGTAACATGTATTTATATAATGCGCAGGGAAAAAGCCTGGTTTAGGTTATGTGTAAAAAATGGCATGAATAACTCAGCCATTCATTCCCCAACATCTCTGTATACAATCCCCAGCATTCTAATTTTAACAGGATTGTACAGTTATATAGTTTACAAAGGTGACGTTAGGAACAAAAATGCTTTCACACAACTTGCACTCCAACAGAAAACTGCAGCATTCCTAGTGTTTACCTTGATGAAACTAATATTTCAAATGCAGTGTTCATTATCACAAAATGAGCATCTGAGTCTAGGGTCTGTAGTGGATCGAAATAGTGCCCAAAAGGTTCAGTGAGGCTGCCCACAAACATCAGTGACACACACATGCACGCAATTGTAAAATGTGCTGTGTTAAAGAGGAATTGTACACAAAATTGATTTTTAGTTTTCAGCCTACAAAAGTACCCACAACACTTATTTCCAAAACTGATTTTCAGTTTTGTGAATTTTAAGTGTTTAGTACTTTGGGAACATTTCTAAATTTGATCATGTTAAATTGTGTAAAAAAAAAAAAAAAAAAAAAAAGATTTTATTCCCCTGCACATCTGTGTAAGAGGTGTATATCAGATTATGTACAATTTTATGTGGTACTTGAACTTTAATATCACAAAACTAACATGACTTTGCAGCTTCGAAATTTTTAAGTCTACTTAAGTAGGAAACCTCTTTTTTTTGTTGTTGTTGTTGATCCCTTTCCAAAAGCTCACACAGTAATAACAGTGCTTCGCTACATGTCAGTTACACACAGTCCCTTTACAGATGTTACCTACATACTTAAACACATGGCATCAGCTGAACAGGTTGTCTTTCTCTAGCTGCATCTTGTAACAAAAGTACTCACGACTGCTCTGTCGTCCCTCACTTTCTCTTCAATGCCCTTTGACCGATGACACGTTCAGATTCATCCGTTGTCATTTTTCTCGTGTGTCAGACTTGGGTCATTTTTTGCTGTTTGTACGCAGTTTTCTCCTCGTCGGTTTTTTCTTTTGTAATAAAAAAAAGTTTTGTAGCATAATGTTTCTTTGTTTTACATTTGCTTCCTGCTGTAGCTTGACAAGTTAAAGGTCAGGGAAGCGGCTCGGGTCTTCTTTATAATCACTGGGAATGGTAAAGATGGACTGGTCGAATTCATCATAGCGAAACTCCTGAAACGTCACCGTGGCTGTGATCGTGGGAAAGACGGGGATGTCTGCAGAAAGACGAGCACATGAGTGTTAATTTTTTCTTTTGATTATGGATTCCCCCCCCCCATATTTTAAATAAGTGGGAGGAATTATTAAATGAAAAAAAAAAACATCCCTTACATTTACCACATTGCTTGCACATCCAATATTTATTTTTAACTACCTGTCTAACAACCATGCAGATGCTATTAAGTATCCTGGGAACTACATCTGCTTACCTAGTTTGACAGGAAAGCCGGGGGGGAGCTTCATCTGAACAAACTCCCTGAGTTTATTAAAGTGCTTAAATGGTGCAATCACCTCCAGAACGTTCAGTAACCTGAGGAATGAAACCAACAAATGGTTACACACAAATCAACAAATATATGGCTGAAATTCAGACAAATACAAAACTAATTTTAACAGTTAATAATCACAATGTTTTAGATTTGTTTAATTTCATCAGTAAGGAACATTAAGGGTGTGTGTGATGGGAGGTACTGTCTCACCCAGCACCCCGAGTTTCATGTGTGTATGGGGAAGCTGGTTTTTAACTGGTTGAGTGAGGACGTCCCCTGTCCTGATAACATGTGGGTAGAAGATCTCAGCATGATTTTGACCTGCACCTCTGTGTGTACATTTTATGCTCTCTGGCCAGACGATACAACATAGTGCCATATTTGGAGTATGGCGTTGAAAACTGGGGAAATACATACAGGAGTTCACTTCAACCATTGTACATATTACAAAAGAGAGCGATAAGAGTTGTGCACAAGATGGGGTATAAGGATCACACAAATGTAGCTTTCATACAGTCTAAATTGTTAAAATTCTTTGATTTAGTGGGATATAAGACTGCTGTGTTTATGTATAAAGCCAGGAACAATTTATTACCTGGTGGAATTCAAAAACTATTTAATGAAAGGGAAGGAGGATACAATTTAAGGGGTCAGTTAAATTTAAAAATTCATGCTATACGTACAACCAAAAAAAGATTTTGTATTTCCATAAGTGGGGTAAAACTATGGAATAATTTAAGTGTGGACATAAAAAATAGTAATAGAATTGACGAGTTTAAACATAAGTATAAAGGTATGTGTCAATCAAGATACATGCAAGAACAGGTTTAATGATTAATTAGGTGTAACATTGTGGGTGTGGTGTAAGAATGTTAACACTATGTAATAATTCTTTAATATATTACTAATCAATCAATCAATCAATCAATCAATCAATCAATCAATCAATCAATCAATCAATCAATCAATCAATCAATAGTTAAGAAGAGAACTGCTACTGCTCGAGCCATCTCTTCTCAACCTGTGATCTTTCTTCAACTTTATCTGATGCCACTCTAAACTCACAAAGGCAGAACTATAACACTGTAGATCAGTTACTTGAAAATGCAACATGAAAAATAAATAAATAAATAAATAATCATGTTTTTCTGACACTTGCAAACACTTTCTTTTTTAAACCAGGGACATTTACATATTCAGGAGAAATTAAGAGGCTATATTAGCCGGCTGCCTTTAAAATCTGTCTGGATGCCAAGTTAAAGAGAAGACTCACGATTCAATGCTCAGAGGGAAGTCTTGACTCATGGCTATCGTGGCTTTGAAGTTCTTCTTGCTCTCTTTGCAAACCAGCTCTCTTCCTAGATTCGGAGCTCTGAGGGGAGACAGAAACAACCTGTCTTGATGAAGGCAGCTCGCTGAGGACCAGCTTACAGAAGTAGGCAGGAATCTTTGTAAACGAAACGGATGTATGTAACTCACTTTCTGTAATTCATGTTCTTTCTCCTAAATAATAATTAACATGACAGATCAGTGATAGGAAACTCCATCATGGAAAAGTGCAGAGAAGACTGTGTAGTCTACAGTGTAAGTTAGATCACAATGCTACTGCAGCAGGAGGTTTGCTATAGAAACATGACACACTGTAAGTGTAACTCTATTCTTTTAAACAGCAAAACTAAAAGTAACAGTTCACCGTTTCCTCTTAATGAACTGGTTTCTTCTCTACAAGTCTAAAAGATGAAATTTTCCTGGGTGTAAACACCTACTTTCCATTGTCAGTGGTGATGTATTCTTCCCAGGATATAGTGTTGGATGACGGGGGAGTTAGAGATTGCCTCCTCGCTGGCTGAAGAACAGTGAGAGGGAAAAAATACATTAGGGTCTGATCCAAGACTAAACCACTGCAGACAGACAAAAACTACAGCTCAGGGTTCAGGGTGCAAACTGCTCTCAGTCCTTTCATCATTTACACTTTAAACGTGCACATTTCTACTGTAAGAAATAATTAATAATAGAGGGTAAATGTTCGCTTAGATGGCATTTACATTCTTAACCTGCCTCAAGACAAAACAGTTGCATTTTATTTCTTTATGTGCACCAGACTATTCATGCACATCTGCATGAAACAACTCAGCAATCTGCGATTTAGAGACAAAGAGAGACCGAACATGTACAATAAAAGTAGCCAACACTAACAATTTTAAAAAAAGTTTTAAAAATGCAATAGCAATACGGTTATGAGCTGGAAATGCTTGAAGAATCTGTTTACTGTCCTACTCTGCCATGAACAAATGTATATGTAACCTTTACGATACCGTTTATATTGAAGATACTGTACATAATCATTCATGGCTACATGTATGATCAGTTTTAACATGAATTCACTGTAAGGTTGATTTCCAGGTGTTAGTCAGATCTGACTCCCATTTCCAGAGTAGCAAAAAGAAGAATTTTCTCCAAACCACCTAGATAAAAACATGGAGGAGTTTCCTCCTGATATCTAATAAGCTAAGCTTCCTGAGGAACTTTCTGTGAATACACTGCAAGTGTTCTCATTCACTGTAAGATGGGACAGTCTGTTCTTGCTGACCCTGAATAAGAACAAGCTCCATTTTGTTTATTCTAAAGTTGTCTTTCACCTAAAATGAAAGTGCTGTTCTTGCCAGCCTTCAAGTTCCAAAAGTTGGAACTGTACCAGCTGACCTCTCTTTTGTAAGCTGTGGGTAAATAATGTAACTAGGGTAGAATAATAAATGGAAAAATGTGGTGGGTGGTGAGACACCCAATTATGCCAAGATGCAGTTACTGTATATGAGGTGCAAATTTAAATGGAAACAATATCTTAGCTTCCCTGCAGCCACACCTACACTGCTCCTGTCATGAAATGTTGTGGTGTTTTTGTCCTGCGGCCTCGCACTCACACTGTGTGTGTTTTTGTGTGCCAACTCTGGCGTGTTGTAACCCAGAGGATACATAACTGTGGAGGCCCTGATCTGCTGGTACACTGGTCCCACCCCCTCATCATTCCATGGCACCAGGGGTTTTAGCCTTCATCTCTGCGAACAAAAGGGTCAAACTATGCTCTATAGTCTCCCACGCTTCTCAGCGTCCACAGGCACAGGGCTGACCTGCTCCGAGGTTAGACAAGGGATTGTTAAGCAAACTCTGGAACATACTGTGGTGAGGTGTCCCTGAGAACAAGGTGCACCTTTGCAGCTTTAACCACTAGGTGGCAGCACAGGGACTCAAACTGTACAAAGTGGACAGGGGTGGGAGTGACAGTGGTGTTTGGGTTTTTTGGTGGGGTATAGACCTCTCTCACACATAAAAGTGACTGGAGCAGCTTTTCATTCTGTTTTCATGCTGGAAAAAAATAAACCATCAAAGAATCAACAGTGAGGAGTCACACAGGAATTTCTCAATAAGTCACGCAGAGCTGACTGACGGTTTGGCTGGAGGTCCATGCTTTTAGGATTTATCTTTGCACAGATAGAGCAGTGGAGTACTGTGAGGTTTATTTTGGCTGAGACTTATTTTATTCTACCCCAAGGTTCCAGCGAGGCAGGAGAGCTTCAGGACTGAACTGGCGGTTACGCTGCAGGCATAAGTAAACAGGATGTTTATCTACAGCACAGTGCTCCAGCTGCTTCTCACTTTTGCCAAGACTTTCTTAACAGTGACTCGCAAAGTACAGCTGTCAGTTTTGGTAGGAAGGCAAAACAGACTTTTAGTTCCTTAAGTTCTGTTCCTGGACCTTTTTGGTCAACAACAGTTGACGATGTCCAGTCCGTGAAATACTTAAAACAAGTAAAAGCAGTCAGAATTTCTACAGTAAAATAAGTCAGGGTGATCAGAAATCCTTAAATGCACAGCCTCCTGATCTGCTGTTTGCTGCTTTGAAGTACAGATTGTGTGTATAGCCAGCCACATAACAGGCCTGTGGGAGTCAGTAAAGACTCAGCAGGTGGACGTTAGCCAAACTGGCTCCTGTGTAATGCTAATGTCTCTGACAGGACAGGACATAATCCCAAGTATGACTTCAAGAGTGATGATGACTGGGGCACTGCAGCACCACACATTAACTGTGGACTGAGGCTGTAAACCTGAGTCTTAGAGGCTTAGTATTCAATGCCAGACTCACCTCCAAGTTCTGCTCTATGAGGTTTCCTCCTTTGCTCAGGCTCTCCATGATGGCTTTGTTCCTCAAGATGTCCTCCTCGCTGAGATGCTCCCGTCTCTTCCTGGACTCGAGCACCAGGCCGTTCACAGAGTAGAAATCTGCCAGAAAGTTTCCCACGCGCTCCTGGAAATAGAAGAAACAGTTAGATACGGCTGTTTTACATCTTACTCCAGGAATGAATACTAATTGGGTTAATTGACCTGCTGTGTTCTTTTTTTGAGGGTTCTTCAACAAGAAGACAGACAATATTTACAGGTCAGGCAGTAATAGAATTTATTTGCCCAAAAAGACAAAAGACAAACCTGTTTCTAGTTCAGTTCAGAACTGTCAACCCGTTGCAAATTCATCAGCAGTCCTTGACTTTGCTGCCATTTGCTTTCACAATAAAGTATAAATTAAGAAGTATTAGAGTTCCCCCACTAACCGTGCAGGACACGTCGCGAAAGGGGCCCCCCCCCCCATTCTACACGACAGGCTAATATATAAAATACAGTCTGATATACACTCATTTAGAAATAAGTATTTGCATTTGGGAGTGTCTGTCAGGTGCCTCTCTCTGTGTCTCCTCCCTGCTTCAATTTGATTGGCCTCTGACAGTGAGTTTATCAAATACCCCATTTTCCATCTTGGATAAGCTACTAAAAATTTTTCAAATTCCCCAGGTCAGGTGGAGTGTGGGGGGATAATAATATCATGATAATAACACCCACAATATAACTACAACAGCCAACACCAACCGTCTTGTCTTCTCTGAACAGCCAGCCAGTCTGCGCCCTGGAGAAGGTGATGGACTTGGTGGAGAGCGTGGCGGAGTAAATGTCGCTGCTCATCAGAATGTCCACTTCCTCCTCCGTCTCCATCTCCGACTCCTGAATACACAAGACAGAGGCATCAACACAGGCATGGGCAATATGAACCGTTTCCATGAAGAATGCTAACATGATAACATGTCATTACAACAGATGCCAACATTTCTGATGAGTAGGCTGCTTTCCATGTTTTTGACAATGTTTCCCGACATTGGTTTCCTGCTAACTACACATTTAAAATTGAACATCTACATCATGGCTGAGTATGCAAACGTACCAGGCTGTGGAATGCAATACACACTGATTTTCTACCAATACTATGAACACAAACCCAAACTACAAGTTTATTTCTTACCACTGATGGTGGGAAACAAAAATCACCTCTATAACTTTTGATCCATCCTGCACCAACATGGGACCACTCTATGGACAAATTTTATATTTGTTCACATAGAATTATCCTATCATTTAGTGAAAAGCATTCATTCTGATGAAAGGGACGTACTATTTTGATTTGCTGTGCCATCACCAATACAACAAAACCTACATTTGTAGCCATGCAACTGATAAAGCAGGGGTAACAGCAAAACTGCCAGGATTCAGTTATTTTTGACCAAAGCTCCAGTAACAAAACCATGAAATGATTATCAGACTTACAGGAATTTAATTTACAACTACTTTTTTATTTGATAATGGTCTGAGTTACTTCTAACATAGTCTGGAACTGGCAAAATATGAAGCCAAAGCCCTCAATGTTGGTTGTAATGAAGAGTGAAAATTTCCAGGTTCACAATCAAAGCTCGAGTCTTTCAGCCTTGTATCCGTGTGCGTCTCTCACACACCTCATGGTGTATCCGCTGGTAAACTTTCTGTTCGTTATCCAGCACAACAAAAGACTCGGATGGGATTGCATTGCCATTGAAGATGAAGCTGAGGTCACCGCGCTGGCACTTCATGTCTGTGAAGTCTATCAGCGTAGTGTCCAACCTGTATACACACATATGCAAAAGAAGGTGGTGTTCTTGTTTATTTGACATAAAACTAATATAATGAGACAGCTTTAGAAATGCATTTCCTCGACATTAAACTTCACACATTTACTTGACATGCAGGACATCTGTTGACAGGACTTGCCTGATGTTGATGCCCTGCTTGTAGATCTTACATGCATCTGAAGGCAGGATTCTGGAGAGCAATGGCACTGCAACGTGAAACGATACAGTAAGGACATGTAAAACGACATCCTGGTGCCTACAGCTAGAAAGGTCACTCAATAATGTAGACCATCATCCACTTCAAAGCCTCAGTAGCGCTGTCGACCAGAGGACGATATACCATGTAGATCTGTAACTAAATATTTAATAAGGCTAAGTAACTGAAGGCAAGAAAGTTCTCTTGCTGTTCTATAATTAAACAAAACTCAAAGTGGGATTTTAACAGTCTGCAATGCTTCTGTGAAGGCCTGCATTAAAAAACGATGCTGGCTCCTCCAACCCAGCCACATGTAGACTGAACAGGCATAAAGGGCACTAAGCCAGAAATCCCTGATGTGAACGCACAGATCCATGAGACTGCGTTGGCTTAAACCAGCTGCTTCTCTAACCTACAAATATCATTGGTAGATGACTGCCGCTACATTAAAGCTTTTACTCTCTCACAAAATTTCCCCATTACAAACACACAGTTATGCAGCCAACTGACATTTATTTACAACTGTGCAGACATTCCATAATCTTCCCTTACAGAATTCAGTCCTGGCTCACACTGCGGGGCCACACTAGTGCAGACTAAGCAAATGCTTCAACTGTTTTATATGTGAAGTCCTACACTGTAGAAAAATGAATTTCTGTGTACATTTAGTGCAGCCGGAGAATAAATTCTGTAGATTCACTGCCATAATCACAAAAGGAGGGACCTTCACACTACAGGACAGTGTGTCAGTTCATGTCCAGTAGGTGGAGTAACTTGGATCATCACAGCACAAGATAAACATTCATTAAGCCAAAAAACAAAGAGTGATTCACTACATTTGCCTGTCTGCAACACAGCCTCTTGTTGGTGTTACACCCTAACTGAGGCCAGGTGGTCATTTTCCAGAGTAGATTAAGTTTGTGGAACTAAAACATTTTCTGTCAGCCTCACTGTCATAAGACAGCAGAAGGTGGAACTGGACTCACCCCAACTTTGGAAGTCCCAATGAAGCTCCAAGTAGAAGTCACCAAGCTGCAAATGAAAACAGAGAAAACGCAATTACAAGTAGACCTGAAATGTTGAGTAATTTGTGGTTTTTAATCAATGGTACTCATACAGGAGTATGGCTATGACAAATCCCACCTGACTTACACAACAGAATACAACCGAATTATGCTGGGATGGACTGAACTCATCATCACTACTGCTGAACTCAGTCCTTTACTGATGATAAAGCTCTGTGATCCGTTGCCAGTCTAATGTCATCTCGGAGCAAAAATGACGCAGAAAAATCATCTCTGGCATTTCTGTCGATTGCATCAAGTCATGGCAAACATGTTTTTCATTCATGATGATGATGATAATCACTTTTACTCGCCAAGTATGTTACACATACAAGGAGTTTGTCTCCGGTACAGAACCAAGGCGGCCATCTGAGGTGTCAACTCACACACATACACACACCCCAATGGTGGCGCAGTCCCTGCTCTAGCCATCAGGAACAACTTGGGGTTCAGTGTCTTGCCCAACGACACTTTGACATGTGGACTGAGGAGAACGAGAATCAAACCACCGACCTTCCAATTAGGGGACAACCGCTCTATCTCCTGAGCCACAGCCGCCCCAAGACTGGGGGTCAAAACCCACTGAAACAGGCCTATGCTATGACCTCTTTAAAGACAGGTTGGAGCATCATTTTAGACCAACTGCAGCTTCTGGTGTTGGCGCTGCTTGTCTGCTTCCTTCTTACTCCCTGACTCTCATGCGGGGGTGACACTGCTACACAGATGACCTGGAAGCTAATCTCACCAGATTACTCCTACACTTTGGCCTCTGTAAGTTCAAATTCAGCAGCGACAACAATATGAAAGGCTCCTCTTGCACTGGCTCTGAAGAGCTCACACATCAGCCTATACATGATTAATGTTTACAGTGTGTGTCCATATGAAGGCCGTGTGGCATCATGTCGGGCAGACAACCATAACAAACCCTGCAGGATAACTGTGGCTCTGAACAGTGAGTCTGTGAGTAGTTGTGTGTTTGTGATTTGTGTGTACGTGTGATGTCATACCAGACAACCACAAAAGCACTGTCAGGCTTTATTTAGTCTTAAAGACCATGTCTCGGACTGGATGATAATGTGAGCGTGCGTCCCTCCTGGCTTTGCTTGTGATGACAGTGATTAGTGAATGACAAACTTGACTGAGGAAGGGGTGGATATGTACCTGTGGATGTGTATTTTCTATAATTAACCCTGTGTATGTGATTTGATGCATGCAACAACTGAGAGAAGAGAAGCAAAGAGAGGATGCAAGACAGAAACATTCATTTCAGTTCAGTCAGTGGTGCTGATAACTTCTACACAAGAGAAAAGGAATAAGATAAGAATTGAGAAGAAAACAGAGGTGCAGAATACGATGGGAACGAGACCGGTTGTAAGAAGAGCTAATGGCCAGAAAGAGAGAGAGCAGAGAAGAAGGCTGAGTAAGAACTACAGCACATACCTCTTTCAGGGCTTTCAGCAGTTTAGGCCTCTTGTCCTCTACACTCTCCCTAGATTGTTGCTTCAGCTTCCTCAGCAGTGCTGTGACTGAAGGACACAAAGAGAGATGAAGAGGAGAACAAATGAGACCAAAAGCATCAACAATAAAGACATTTTTTTACTGTGTGGAAAAAGCACAGGCTGGATACCTTCCTAATATTCTGACCCTATCATGCATGTAGATGGAGAGGACATAAATATAGAGACACCACTGCATATACTGTATGGCCTCTATGATAAAACTATAATAGAATTTATACATTTTAGACAATTTCACCAAAAACAAACATTCTGAGCTTCATAAACACAGATGTTAACGTGGACGTTTTGCTTTGAATTGCATACAACTGTACAGGTGTGCCTATTAAAATGGCCGGTCAGTGTATATTGCTAGGCAAAACGATTCATATTGTGATGTTTTTGTATCGTCATATATTGAATTTTCATATATTGTCCCATCTTTACTATTTAAATAAGAAACTAACATATTTCTCCACCAAGTTGTTCTTGTTGTTTCAGCCACCAACTAGTGTTCTTCTCTACACAGCATGAAACTCAGCACCTTCTTAATCGTGATTTGTCAGCAGAAGAAAAACACTTTAATTTCACTATATGGGGTTTTTCTCAAACAGCGGGAGAAGAGTGAGTGAAGAAGAAGTGTAAACTCTTCTCATTGGTTTTAATGAAAAGAAGGTGATTATGTTTTGATGAGTGCGACAGACAGCAGATGTTGCTGTTGAACTTGTTCTTAAATTCACCCCACCTAAAAAAAAAAACTTAAATGATGCAAACAACTAACACGATATAAGTTCATACAATTAAGACCAAAACCAACTTTTTAAGGGACCAACTTGCTGGCACCAGATGAGACATTCCCAGAAGTGTCTGATCAAACCCTACACGCCGCCTGCAGAGATCAAAATGTTCCAAGTAGTTCAAAGAAAGCAAGCCTGACAGATATGGAGCTGCCTGCTAATGAGCTGCGCCTTTAACCTCCTTAATGACAGGAGGCATTAACAGGAGACTTAACCATGATGGGTCACATTAACAAGCATGCACAGCTCTTTAGTCCATCGGTTGCAGTAGACTCACTTGTTTATGCAAAAGAAAACAGGCTGGGGGGACGACGACAAAAAGCCCCACAACTATAAAGCATTTATTTTCATGTTATTTGCTGTTTATAAATGGACTGGAAGCATCAGCTGCTCTCTGACATAGCTGTGGTCCTTTGATGAAGCCAGAAGGGGATTAACTGATGGAATGACTGTGCCAGTTATAAACCCATGGAAACAGTAATTAAAAAAAGAAAAGTCTGGCCTGACAGCCGTACCACCTGACATGTTAACAGGAGTTAAAGCTAACAGTGGACATATGGCATAATCATCAATGTTATGCTTCTCTCTGTCCATGAGATGAGCTGATATACACAAACATGTTGTTCATGTTGTTTAACAGAGGGCTAAATGGTAAAACTAGGCCAAATGACAGCACAGGCATGCATGCACACACACATACACGCATACGGCAAGACACATGCGTCAATGGATGCAAACACAAGTATAGGACGAGGGATGTCTTTAAGTCCCGGCTGCCTAATAAATATGGACAAGCTCTGGATGAGGCTCCTCTTGATCCTTGCCGTCTCTCCGTGGGACAAGGAGAGCAGTACAATCACCTGTCATCACCACAGTCATCTGCTCGCAGACCACCCAGCCAACACAGGCCGAGAAACCAATCCTGACCGCTTCAACACTAAACCAAACTGATGGCTGCAGTTAATTCACCCAGGCACTGATTAGGGCCCTTTCTTGACATTAGTTAGGTGAGTGAGCTCAGTAATTTCATCTCAACACTTTTTTTGACAATTAAAGCCTGGATTTAACTGAACAAATGTTGCAATAACACAATAACATAATTAACATAGCAGCCTTAACACGAGGCTCAAAAAAAAAAAATTAAGATAAGTCTTGAAACTCATCACCACCAACTTCCCCCTCACCTTTGAAGGGACATTTCCAACAGCTACACACCAAACACTGATGGATAGCCCTGACCTTATAAAGGAAAGGCTTCCTTTCTGATACTTTATATAAGGCAAAATATATAGTCCAAAAAACATCTTAAAACATGTCAGAGTCATTTCATGGCTTTAAAGGCACAATGTGATAATAGCATGACGATACCTAGACTGATTATTTGTAAAACAGTACAAAGTTCAAATTGTAAATATGGCAAGAAAACATCCATCTTCTAGTTACGATACAGGTAATCTTGACAATGAGCTAAACCCAAAAATCTTTATTAACCAGGCTTAAAGCTTCCAATTAACCTAAAGTTTTTAGTCGCCAGCCCCAAGTTTGGCTGCGTACTCGACAGCCAAGTACCAAGACCTCTGCTGTCTGACAAAGCAGTTCCCCTTCTAACAGAAAGTGACATGGCTGTGGCAGCCTTTAAACAAGCTCCTGAAGCTGACAGCACAGTGAAGACAGAAATAGCTCTTCCCGAACAAAATGCATGACAAAGTCTGAGCCATAGTAGAGCCTTACTCTAATAAAAAGTCATAGATGATGAAACGCAGCAAATTTAGGCTGACATCTGTGGAAATCTGTCACAAATGCTGTCGATAAACACTGGAGTTAGGATTTTGTTATTCATCACTTTGAAGAAATAGTTCTCCTAAAAAAGTTAATATGTCACTTTGTATGGACACGGTTTAAATGTTACCAGTCTTCAACGTGCTCCTCTCAAGGCCAGTTACCTGAATGTACAACAGACAAAGCTCCTAGGTCTCTACTTTTATGAGTTTCCTGGTAAAAGCTGACTTAGCTCACGCTGAAAAACTGTGAGGTCAAACAGTCCTAGTTCCCTTTAGCACCTCTATCCTTTAATGTCGTCACGGCAGCCAGGTTGAACTCTGTGTGGAGGGCCAAGTGTGAATATTTTACCATGTGCAGTCTCAGCCAAATTCAGAGTCAAACACCACAGGTAAACTGTCACGACTGTCCTAAACTCTGGAGATATATTAAATAAGGAAAGGAGGCAACAGAAGCTGCTGTTCCTCTTGCCTCTACAACCCGCTGTCTGATTTAGGAGACCAGTTGTACCTTCTGCCAGCAGGGTGAGCCTGTACCTTCTGATCTCCTGAATCAGCAGACTGATAACGGGTTCAGCCACAAGGTGCGTGCCTGCAAACTCACCTCCCAGGCCTGGCGCCAGGAGAGGGTGTGGAGACATTGACTCTCTCTGAAAGGTGCCATTCAATAGAGGTCTGAGAATCACTCTTAGTTTGGCCCCTCACCTGGTGTAAATTTGCCTTAGGAGAGTCTATATGGATTTTCTTCCATTATCTGCTTCCACTTTGGATCAAGTTCTTTTATTTTAGCAAAGAACAATGGAACACATAAGCAGAACTACATCAGCTGTAGCAAATTAACATTTGGCTAAACTGAAAAGTTGTCTGGTTAATGCATTCTCTGCAGGTGCTTTCTGTATCCAGTAAACGTTTAATTGTGAGATACCTCAGTTTTAGTTATCATTTAGCTGCTTGCAAATGTTGAAAAGTAAACTTTATAAGATTTGAAGAGATTCAATAGTAGACTTGATAAAATGCTATGAAACCCAACCCCCCCTACTGACTCTACAGACGTCACACCCTTTCAGCAAGATAAGACATTTTTTACATTTGAACCCACTTTTTGCCATTTACTGATGTGAGCGCTGCCAAAGCTAAGGTAAAACAGCATTCCAGAATTCATTAACAGCTGCCTCAGTCAATCAGAGACACTTGTAAATCCGGTAAGATAAAGTAAGTGGCATTAGAGAGTTCATTAGAGGATGCAGTCAGCAGAGACACTTTAAGTTGCCTCGCTTTAGTGTTGGTGCCAAGTGGTTACTCTAATAAGGCCCAACCCTTTCATTCTGGCAGTATCAGACTTGGCATGATGTGTAATGCTGGTATGTTAGAAAGTCATTCTCTCTCATTGTAGCTCAGGATGTCTCATTGTAATATTGTCACATTTATATTAATACTTGTGAACAGTAACAACATCCGTTCAGCTGCGTTGTGCTACCCAGACAGGTGAAAACACAGAGGTTTAGGGCAACAGAGGCCGGTAAAATCAATGATGGCACCTCGAAAATTACGTCAAGGGCTTTTTTTTTTTTTTTTACATGTTCCCTATTTTATTTTTACTCTTTTCACCCCATCATGCCTTTTTTTTTTAAAGCATATTAGCTTTCATACAGTTTTCTCTATGAAAACTATAGGACCTGCTCCCATGCCCAGCATGCCAAGAGCTTTAAATACATATGTGACTAATTGCATTTATCTGCTAATAAACGCAGATGTTCATGACCCAGTATAATGTCAAACTGTAGGGCCAGCGGACACAGATTTTCTCACTCTATCCATTTCTTGTCTACCCTGCTTATCCTGCAGAAGGTTGCATAAGGGCTGGAGCTGATTCCAGCTGACACAGTGAAAAAGGCACATTACACCCTGGCTGACACACAGAGCCAGACAACCACTCACATTTACACTCACACCTACAGGCAATTTAGTATTGCTCTGTAGAAGGATGTCAGAGTACCCAGAGGAAGCCCACAAAGGCACGAGAACATGCAAACCCCACACAGAAGTGCAAAGAAAAAGAACTCCGAACATAATTGGTGCCAGTGATGGTCCTGTACAATATTATTGTTACCAGTAAAGATGGGCAATGATTTTCAAATATTTAAATAGGCCATAAATGTTAAAAAACTTGCATATTTCAAAATTTGAAATGCCCCTCCCTAGTTACTGGTAATAGTAGATATAATCAATCTGAAATTGAAATATTATTCTTCAGAAACATTCTGAACATTTCAGCCAGTTAAAGCCAGACTTTGGAGTGTGGGCAGAAAATGGGTGAGACGGGGGGTTTGACTACCATCAGTCTTTGAGGAGAGAGAAACAGCTAATGAATTGCCTTTCATCACAGCACAAAAGCCAGAGGGCCTTGAGGAATGTCCCTGCTCTTTGAGCGACAAAGGAAGCAGGCCAGCATCGTGACCTCACTGGGAGGCAGCAGTTTGGAAGAATGTGCCAAACCATTTGTTGATCGGACCTTCTCTCTCTGTCCCTCTCTTCATTATTTTCACACAGGAAAGCCCAAACTCAGACCCTATTGAGACCATGTTGATTTCACTAAATGAACTGGCTGAAAAGCATCACCCCAGTATGCAGCACTGGTGGTTTCAGTGTTATCGATCAATGTCTATCACCCAGTGAGTTAGTCACAGATACTTACTCATCTGTCTGTCTCCGTAGCTGATGGCCTCTGCAAGGGGGCTCCATCCCTGAGCGTTCTTCACCTTCACTGGTGCATTATGGGCCAGAAGCAGGTGGGCACATTCTGTAAGAGGGACAATGAGATAGTCAAACACTCAGTCAATTTATAACACGTTTATTTGAATGATAAGTTTTAATCTCAGCATCAAGATACCCACACATTTAATCGGTGGTTTTCCCTGCTATAGAAAGGCTTAGGTACGCCACCTCAAGGCACCTTAAGCCGAGCAGAAAAAGGCCTTTAGGTGACATTTCAGAATGAATGTATGCTAAAAACAACAGGGCGAATTCTATACGCTGATCTTCCTGACCTAGAACAGGCCTACGCCCTCTGAAAACTTGGCATTTAATCACAGTAAGTCAAAATTATGAACAAAATTCCCCTGGAATGGAAAAATGCTCCCTTCAAATAGACAAAAACACCAAGAAACCAGGGAATGAACGCCATGCCAACAGTGTGACAAGTTCTAATTTTGTGTGAACTTGTCTTCAAGCAGGGTACCCATCATAGATAAAATGAAGTCAAGGAAACTTTTAACTGGATGTGTTTCTTGTAGCATTAAATCAAATTACATAAAAACAAGCCTGGTGTTATAGAGTGACAGACTGTGTGTAGGATTGAAATGACAGTTGACCCATTAACCAAAGAGCCATATGGGAGCTACAGTTACACTTTAGAGACTATAAAATAAGGAAAGATTGTCAGGAATAAAATGTCAGACTTCACAAAAAGACATCTCCCTGTACTGTGGAGAGAACCCTGAGAGCTGTGCTTGTACTCCAGCTATGGGAAAACAGCCAAAGAGCCTCATCCCTGTTCTATGGTATGATCAGCAGTAAGTGCAGCACTGAATCCCTCCGCTCCCTGGGCAGCCTGTCAGCAAACTACAGCCAGCCAAAAATGAAGCCTGTTGTTCCGGCTCAGCTGTCAGTTTTGTCGTGGCATCGTCCATTATATTGCTGGCGCCTGTACAGCTCTGTCTCAGCGCTGGGCAGGAGCAGTCACAGTCCTGTGAGCAGCAAAGGGCTCCAACACAAAGCAGAAGCTAACTGTTAACAGTCTGCTACTGAGTGGACATGTAGCGCCTTCACTTGATGTGGCAGGAACTTGGGCTTACTGCACTTGTTTGACCGGTCTCCTCAGTGAACACTTAGTCTGACAAAAGCTGCACAGAGGCTCTCAATACAGCTCGGTTTTCACTGCGAATTCACCCTCTTAGTCATCTGAACAAATTCAAACCGGTTGCTGCCATCATGTTCAGACTTGTTTCTCTGCTTAAGATTTGTATGAAAGCCTATTTAGAGCGAGAGAAAAAAAAAACTGCCATAAATGGTGTATTCACAAAGAAAACCTGATGCACAGAACCAGAAAGAGGCACGTTCTGCCTTTTGAAAATCAGTGTAACACAAATCAACAGTCACACAGTCTAAAATACCGCCTCACCTCTGATCTACATACTCACCGGGTTTCATTAATTAGAATGAGACCAGAGTCTGATACATTCTTTAGAACAAATACATTTTAAAGCTCTTCCTAATTAAACACATTAACTACACAACAAAGATGAATGCAGATATTCAAAAAGTGTTGTTGTAGAAACATAAAGAGACGTGTTGTGACCGCACCCAAAGCACTTAGGCCGTTTACTTTACAAAAACAATTACCAGCAACACCATCACTCCAATGTACAGCTGACTTCAAGGTGAAAGCACAGCAAAGAAAATCAAAATGAACAAAGAAAGGCCAGTGGGAAATCAATGTGGCCACGTCGGGGGCGCTCCTGAGGTCCAAAGACTGAAGTCTGAATTTATTTTCTCATGATGTTTCTGCCTAATTCTGCTTTGACATGATCCAGTAAGTGCTGGATACTGTCCAAAGGCTAACCACTTCAGAGAGAGAGAGAGAGAGACTATACTGGCCATATTGCATGCTTTAATTAAACAAAAGAGATGTGCTGGCAGCACAAAGAGCTTTACATCAGCAAACAAAAAAAGCAAACCTCTGTGTTTACGCATCAGCTCAGTTTGTGTGCGAGCTTGGGGATGGAGCAGTCGATGATGTCAAGAAAATACAGCTCACTATATGATGTAAGCTTCGCATTCTCTCTGGCCTTTGACCTATATATCACTCCACTATATATAATGATTATGTAATAATAGTGACAACATTTAGCAGATATACATTACACAACCACAGAGAGAACAGCTAGGCCATGTGTCCTAAGATACAAACCTGCTAGCGTCGGTCTTAGTGTCTCAAGTATAGGCAGTGCAAATTATTGAGTGTGATATTAAAACTATTCGAATAATTAGCATCACAATGGTACATGGACACAATCTGAAATTTGTTTTGTGTGCATTTAGAAACACATTTCAGTTCTGCCCTACTTGGATTAAAAGCAGGAGGTTCACCTGACGTGTCATTTGATTTGCCTACCAAGCACAAAAATGCAAATCTATGCTGAACACCTCACTCTTTTAAACGATGACTTCAGCCATTTTCCATTTACAGTTGGACTCAGACAATTTCTGGTTGTGCTGATGGCTACATCATGTAAGGTGAAAATACAGGCTGTTCTATGATGTGTGTTATTCTCTCATCCACAACATGAAATGTGAAGAAACAAGACATGTAGCCCCTCCACTGGCACCAGACTGGCTGTATAATGTTTGCTTGGACTTGAACCTCTGGATGAACACTTTCAGTGCAGTAACATGTAAAGGTGGGCTTCATTGCCAGTTCCATGTTAGACCTGGATTAAAGATGGAAAAACACCCAGATTCGTCAAGATCCACGGCCAATCGAATCCTTCATCGAACTTTTCATTCATGTTTTCCATACAGTTTAATCTCATTTGCCTCTTTCTCGACACTACAGTAAATACGTGAAAACCCAGTGATGCTGATAACAACAAACATACAAGACCAGTTTAAACATTCCAAAGTCAAACAAATGTGAATGGGGGTCTGCCTCAATCTATCGTTAGTGTTGCAGCGCATTCTGTGGCCTGCTGCAGTGCAACGAGTTTAAAATCAGGTAAAATCAGAGCTTTGTTTGTTATTCACTGAATGATAAAGTTAAGTTGATATGACTTTTGCCCTGTTTTACATTAGTTTCTACAGCTTCTAAATAAGTGGACAAAGACCTATAATCCTTTAATAAAGCAGAATATTAGTGGTAACAGTTTAATGGCTAAGGGGTGGCTGTGGCTCATGAGGTAGGGCAGTTGTCTCCTGACCAGCAAGTTGGTGGTTCGACTCCTGGTCTTCCCGCATACCTAAGTGTCCCGGTGGCTTGACTAGCGCCGTTGTGTGGCAGCCTGTCGTCATCGGCGTGTGAATGGGTGAATGGTGTATCATCTCCTGTAAAGCGCTTTGGCCAGTGCAACACACTGTGGAATAAATGCGCTATATAAATACAGTCCATTGACCATTCAATTACCAGCAACAGTCACAACTGTCTGATAACTGGTTCCCTAATCACAATTAAAATGACCAAATGTCATATTAACATGATTAGAAGTTAGTGTTAAATATTAAGTTTTTTCTTTTGTTACACTAAACAGATAAAACTTTTTTGTGAAATAAAAGCTGTACATTTCCTTAACTGACAATGTCCTCATTCCCCACCAAACAACCTACTTAAAAAGATTTGACAACGAATTTGAAATGCTTCACTTTCCATAAAAGGCTATAGGTAAAAGAAAATGTCGGAGTGATGAGCACCAAGCAAACATTACTCAGAAAGGCTCCGGTGAGGTTACGTTGAGAAACGGCAGATTTTCCCTTAGACTGTGACAACATTTAACCACTACTGTGCACTGGCTAAGCACAACGACTACTAGCTTATTGCTTGTGGAGCAAGCCATCAAAACAGTCTCAGATTTCAATGACTTTATCTAGACTGATCTGTTATTGATCCTATGAGTGAGATCTAAATTTTGACCCAAAGAAGATTCTCCTTTTGTGCAGCATTGCGATTCTATAATGTATGTTTAAATGTATAACAAAGTTAGAATCTAATGTCATACATAAGTAACAGTTCATATATGGTATAGTAGGATGTAGGCAAGGAATAATCAACAACCTCAGGTCATTCATGTGAATCAAATCAAAATTAGCTGCACAGATACATTAACATTTAGCCTATAACTCATTGGTTTACTGCCTGATTCAATCCCATAAGCAACTGTGATATAAGGAAGTCTCGCAGTGGATTTCTGAGTTGAGAGCATGTGCAGCAGCAATAGGGAGCTCTTGCTCAAATAACATTCAACTCTCAGGCAGAGTAATGAGCGAGGCAGTGCAGGATTGAGGAATGAAATGCTAATCCACAGCAATGCTACACTACGTGCACTGGCTACAGATGGGGCATTTATCAAGGATCTGTGAGCTATGAAAAATCCAACCACCACCAGCCATTCAAATCCAGGCTGAGCATTTGTATTAAAATAGCTGTTTTACCTCACCATCGATGACAAACTCTGCCACCGGATCAAATAGGAGCTGCACAAGGAAATTCTCTAAGGCAAAACTGAAAATGCTTATTAAACATAACCTGTTTTGCTTTGCAGATGTGTTTTTTTTCCTCTTAAGTTAATGTGCACAATGAAACTAATCCTCTATCAAAATTTAATGTGCTGCTCTTTTTATGTCAACAATGACCTGGAAAAAAAAAGTGTTGATCTGCTGTTTCAGAGGCAGACTAACCCAGCCTGACCGACACAGTAGCTCCAAACATTCACCAGTGTCTCTGAAAAAGGTTAAAAGTATGTTACGATTGTATCTTTGCGGAAACGGGAACAGATCACAGCACACCACAAATGAAACACTTTTCTGTCTTTTGACAGGAAACAGGCTTCAGGGGAAAACTGTAGGACTCATATACTGTATGTGTGCCAGTTTCCACAGCACCCTATCGCAAATAATGAGTGAGCTAGAGACATGAAGACAGTCAGCTGAATGAAAAAGGACTGATAATTTGGCAGATTCATCAATGACAGAAATAATCATTAGCCACATATACAACCACAAGAAAAAAAGCAATGTTTGCAATTTCCTGGTTTTCTGCATAAATTGGCCATGAAATGTGATCATCTACACCAAAATCATAAATATCAACAAACATAATATTTCTAAGCTGTTAAAATGCAGTCATGATCTTTCATATCTTTATTGAACACAGCATTTAAACTGAATTCTGGGGCCCAGTGTCAGAAAGTTGGGTGTCTGTCAGAGATCATGGGTCTTACAGCCGGACAATGACGCAAAGCAGACTTCAAAAGCACCAGAAATGGTTTCAGACTGGAGAGTTCAGAAGTGGCCAGCAATGAATCCAGATCTAAATCCCACAGAGCACCCGTGGAGCGATCTCAAACCAGCTTTTTTGTGTTGTTCCAATGCAAACAAAAGAAATAAACATGAGAATACCTAAGAATTTCTGATTGCAACCATTTTCTGGGAGAAGTGGCGCGTTATCTGACAAAAACGCAGGGGTGCCAATATTTTGGCCATGACTGTATCTTTCCATTAAGAACAAAATATGGATGGATAAAAGATTATGCCATGTCGTAACATGCTGACATTTCTTTTCAGTTGAATGTTAATTGAGCTCCTTTCTGAGTATTTTATTTGTTACCAGTGACAGAAAACACCTTCTTCTTATATATTATATTTTTAGTGTTAAACTGCCAAAGCTCAAAATGAAGGTGCTATACACAAGTATCATCGTCATTGCAAGCCTGGTAAATGAACACACACAAAGATATACACACAGGGATTGTTGCCCTCTCTGTCCTAGCTGGGCGGCCACACCCAGACTATGATATCATGCAGTAGCCTTCAGCTCATCTGGCACGAGCATCCCTGGAGGACAGAGCAGGAGCCCAGGCAAAAGATAGGCAACCTCATTAGCGCAATCAATTCCACAGCAGCCAGTCCACCACTACACTTTGTACTGCTGCTGTCTGAATTACCAATAGGCAGTGGCTGAGCCTTCACACCAGTGACAGGAATTGAACTTTGCAAATGCGAAATCAATTGAAATCTGCACTCCAGTGACAGACAAATGGGATGGTACTGCACAGGTAACCCTATGCTTGAATTGTTCACCGAGCGCCTGCTGTGAAAAAGGAGGCATGCATTTTTCAATAGCTTGTTCTGTAAAATTAAATGTAAGCATCACATCACAAAAGGGACGGTGTATTCATAATTTATGCCCATCCTTTCACTCCAGCCAATTCACCTCAAACCAAAAATCAAAGATTTTTAGAAAGCCTTGTTACACCAAAGAAACATGCAATGCACACAGAGTCACAAAGACAGACAAAATAAACTGAATCTTTATATATTACTCACCTTTGTGCCCCATCATGACAGCCAGATGCAGAGGTGTGTTTCCTAAAGAATGAAGCAAACAAACCTGAATTTATAGGCTGTCTTTCATAAGTACTGCACAGCTAGTCACACAATGTTGTCATTGAATTTTTAATTGTATTGTGCTTGAATATCATGCATCAAATCATAGTGAAACAAAAACACATAGTCCCATCCCTAGTGAATATATTTTCCAAACCAAAATAGAAGAAGGGTGCTCTTTTATCTATGTGGACCTGTTCAGTTCAGATGCTGCGTGTGAGGCTCTCTCTTTCTCTCTCTCCTCAGCCTAATCTCAGCAGGCCCTGACTGGCCATTGATGTTCAGGAATTTTCCCAGAGGGCTGACAAGTTTTTCTCGAGAACTGCTTTGATGTTATACAGCCTATACAGATAACAGCTTTTCAACAGCTGCGACACTGCTGGCGCAACCTTAACAGCCGTGAGAGCTGTTGCTTTCACAACTGCAATGTAGATCTGGTAGTAAATGAAACTTGAAGACATGAAAAACCCTCGGTGCACAAAAGGAGAGGCAGAAAGAGAGACCAGACTTTTTTGGTTGATGCCAAGTGCACAAAAGTAGCTAATGGCCTATAAACAGTAAACCACGGACCAAAAACAGCTGCTGTGTGTGATGATGAGCAATGTAGTGAAGAGGCAGGATGATAAGACAGATGAGTGTACAGGGAGAATCAGTGTCATGGCAGTTTGTTGTGTGATTATTGCAGAGCTGCCCGACCCACCATTGTCTAATCACTCCTAAAGTGGCTACTGAATGCAGTCCTTGCAGAAACAATTAAAGCGGTCAGAACGTTAAATTTAACACTAAATATCTGCAAATAAAGTGGAAAAATTGGCCGTTTATATGCAACTGGGTCAAATAAATATGAAAATGTGTTTTTTTCCTTTTATGAAATATTGATGCTGGCCTGCTAATTTCCCTCTCAGCACATTGTAAGCATATTTCAGAACACTCATCAATTCTTTTTGCTGTATTGTGAAAATGATGTCTGGTAAATATTGACTGTACCATGTAAACATACTGAGTGAGAAAGAGATAGGAACCAGCACAGACTCAATGCTTATGATCAGGTTAGACTACTCTTCAGAAGTTATTTACTGTTACATCATATGAAAAAGAAAGGCAAGTATGTTGAATAATACACCACATGTAGCTGCCTATGTTAAGGCTGGTCTGTCCATTCTGAATGTAATGAATAGAACATTATATTTGATGCTGTCCCACTGAGGTTTGTTTCAAACAAGTTCAATATAAGGTGGTGAGAGATTTAACATTACATTTAAAATTACATTACGTCATTATTGCTGTGATGTCCTTTTAGAATCAAATAAATAAGCTACATTTCAAATTTGGGGTTTGCCGTGTTCACTATCAGTAGTTTACTAATGCAGATGTTGTACCATGATGTATTTTTAGAAGTTTGGGTCCTGGAGAGATACGAATTTTCTCTTTTGGGTCTAAAGATGAAAACGTTTGGGAACCCCTGCATTAGGGGAACACAACATAACTGCCAGGTGTGGAAAAGCACAGGTTTTCTTCTCAGTATGTGAAATGTGCCTCATAAGCACTGGAGAATCCCACAAGAGGAAGCCAAACTGCCTGGTCAGCTGCTTCAGGCTTCTCTTCCAGGGAAAACAGGCAGGTGAGCATCCAGAGTAAAAAAGGCTTGAAGTCCTGATATGGGTGAATATACAAGCTGGGGATCAGCTGAATGACCCTCTGGATGCTGTGATAAAGCTGTAAAGAGAGGGCAATGAAACAACAGGGGCTATTTCCACCCACAACAAGGAGTGTAAAACCTTTGAAGCATGCTGGCTCGAGATTAAGAGCAGCACCACAGGCTCATACGTGTCATGTCTGACACCTTGTTGCATTATTACACCATCTCAGAGCTTTGATTTGAATACAGACCACATTCCAGTGTTGACAGAGAGCTCAAGTACAGGCAGCCTTTGGTCTCCGCACGTCAGCGTAACAGAACACTCTTGTTGTTTTGACAGCTCCAGAGGGTTTCTTTGGACACTGTGGTGTTACCTGAGCAGATCTGGTCCTACAGACTGTCAATTCGGGGGCCCCAAACTTTTGCAAAGAACCCATTAATATATATCAACTATAGGCTAAGGACCAACTTATTTAAGTGTTTAATCACGATTTATTTGAGATTTTTGCAACTGATCGGCTAATATTTTGATAATCAACCCGACTCATTTTTTAAAGAAATATGTCAAACTTCTCTGGTTCAGCTTCTCAAATGTGTGGTTTCTGTCGTCTTCTATACTACACAGAGTATCAGTGTTGTGTACCGTTCACTGGACAAACCAAGATGTGAAGATGTCATCTGGGTCATTGTGGAATTGTGGATGGATGTTTTTCACAATTTTGTCATATGTATACACTATTGTACCAACAACTAATCAGTTAATAAAGAAAATAATCAACAAATTCAGAAACAATAGATAACAATCCCAGTTCAAATTCAATTGATATTTCACTGCTGTTGGTGGAAAGATGCCCTGAGGCCTCTGATGCAGATAATCTATACATGTTTTTCTTTAAGTTGACATGAAGAACCTGAATGTGTAAAACAGGTGGAAATTAAAATATTCCTCAGTTTGGGAATCTGCTATCCAGCCCTTGGCACAAAGACGCCTCCCCTACTTCCAGTGCTGCTGGAGACTAATGGCCTATTAGCTCAAACTAAGCTTCACTGGACCATGATGGATTTTTGTATCATGATGGGTTTTTGGATCCTGCCTTCAGTGATGGGTTTTTGGATCCTGCCTTCGGGACTAATGCGATAAACAGCTGATGAACTCACCATGGACGTCCTTCTGTGCGATATTCTGCGTCCGTATGAGAGAAGACAGGCGTCGGACATCTCCCTTAAACACACATTCATGCACCGGAAAGTCCTGCCCGGTTCGGATAATTGGGTTCTTGTTGTTGTCATCGATAACATCCGATGTTGACAGTGTGTTGGTGTTGGCATTAATCTGCGACTGCTGGCTCTGCTGCTCCTGTGTGGATGGCGACTTGTTCAACTTGTGATTACTGAAGATTTTAGTCGCTCTGCTCTTGTTGTTCGTCTTGGAGACGGTGAACGTCCCGGTCGCAGCCTCCTCGTCCGGTTCTAGTAAATCCTCGTCTTTGTTCGGCTTGCTGTCCTTCTGCAAGGAGCGGATCTTCTCTCCGGTCATTTTCTAAACAGTTAGCGCTATCGGAGCAGAGGGTGTCGTCGTTGACGATGACCCCCCGGGCGAACTGATGCGATTCGCCACAGAAGTCTTCACGCAAACACTGTAAATTGCACAACATGAAAACACTTAATCCTCCCACGGAACAGGCAAAATGACAGTTTGTTCGAAGACGAACAAGTACAGCGCCTGTTCACTGATTTTATTATGAAACACAATTCGCTGTCCTCCTGTCGTACAAAGCGGTCGCTTTTGAACAACATAAGTAGCTCTGGTTGACTAATATCAAGATTCAGCTGGTGGCTTCCGCTTCATAACATCGCGAGAGTTCTGGGGAGGTTACTAACGGTCACTAGCTGATGCTACTGGGGCGTGTACATAGACATAATATACATTATTATTATGTCTATGGGCGTGTACGCGAGGGTACCCGAGGGGTTACTCGGAAAATAGCCACAGGAAAAAAAATATATTTTTAGTGAGTGCAGTGCCGTACTCAGGCTCCTGGCGTGGGTGGGCTTTAGGCTTGTATCACTAAGGCGTTAGAAGTCCTGTATTCAAAGTATTTGAAACTGCTATACTTATGTTCCAGTAAAGAATCTGAGTACTTGCTTCACAACTGACTATTTATACATAAGCTGTAGTGGTGAAAGAAGTATGAGCCCAAGTAAAAGTACACAAATATCTTATTATCAGTAAACTATAAATGGCAGGCATATACTGAAGTTTATTTTAGCTACTGTAGGCCTACTATTATTAGGACTATTGTTAGCTACAGCTAACAATTATTACAGTCATGTGTAATGTAAATCTATCCAGCAGCAGGCTAGCCATGATATCTGATTCTCTCAGACTTCCATTTTTAAGAGCAGCACATACAATTATCATGTTATAGGCTAATTTGAGGGCCCAGATGCAGACTGGGGAGCAGGGCTTTAATGAGATTTTCAAGAGTACGGGTAAGCAGAATACTGGTTCAAAGACAGGCAAACACACAGGGGTACACAGGTATAATGGCTGACATGGGTAAGTATATTGACAGACAACAGGAACACCAAGGATGGATGGCACTACAGGTAAGATAACTGGCCCAGAGAAGAACAAGTACACAAATAAGGTGACTGATTAAAGAGGAACACAGCCTATGGCCTATGTGGCAGGCAAATAGGTCCTTTACACAGAACGTACAAGTTATCAGGCGTACAAAAAGCCTGGAGAACACGCTTAGTCGTAGTCACATTACCATTATTTAATTAACTGATTACTTAAAAAGTAATTGGCAGCTATTGTAACTTTCAAAAGTTTCAAATGAAAGGATGCTGATTTTTTATTGTCATAAATTATACAAACTAAACATCTAGCTAGTCATTGTCCTCTTGTATTCATTTGATGCTTTTGACTTTCTGAGGACACTGGGTGCAGGCACCTGTAGGAATCAAATCTGTGTTTGACATGTTTTACTGAACCAGCACGTTTAGGCACGCTGAAGCAGGATGGGCATGCTACAGAGCACTTCCACCCTCTATGGCCCATGAAACGAAACACATGCTAAACATCTGTTATGTTGTGCCATGGAGAGTAAATGCACAATGTTGATGTATCCTACCAAGTACAACTTTTATGGCAGTGGTGGAGAAATACAGAATATTGCTCTACCTAGATCACAGAGAAGTAATGATGCTTGATGGGATATTGGCCTTAAAGGCCTATACAATTCTCAGAATGTCCTTGATGGGAATTTGCTCAATTAAGTGGAACTAACTTGGAAAACTAATTTAGTAATTAATTGAGGCTGAGTTAAAAGGTGTACCCTGCCTTACTCAAAAAACAGGAAACATTGCATCACTATAGCGCATACAGAACACACGCACAAAGGGTGCAAACAACGTGTAGTGTCACATGTGTTTGACGCCCCTTCTAAATAGCCAATCGGAGCCGCCTTCTGCTTGTTGTTGAGCGCTGATTGGCTCACACAGAAAGACACCGCCCACAACTCGGTTAAATAGCGTTCTTCCTTCACCATATACACTGTAATGCGTACTCATCCTGTGCCAGCTATACTTAGTATTTGGGGAAGCGTGCCGTTATGGAGCCGAAGCACAAACTAGACGAGCAGAGCGGCGTGTTCGCCGGTTTTGCACCGCCTTTTAAGTCTTTCGCCACAGAAGCAATACACGTCGGTCAGGAGCCGGAGCAATGGACATCAAGGGCTGTAGTGCCGCCGATTTCTCTCTCTACCACGTTTAAGCAATGCGAACCGGGAAAGACCGCCGTAAGTACCCGATATGGGCGTTGAGGTGTGAACACTGATCCAGTGTTGTGTCGAGACCCATCTAGTAGCTTACGTATATACATAAATCTCTTTTTAAATAAAACAGTTTATAAATATGTTAATACTGTTGTTAGGTTATTTCTTAGTTAGATAGATATGGATTAGAGATCTGGTGTCTAGAAATGTTTAGTACAGACAGGGTGACTAGCTTTGCTGTAACTATTCAGCCTGCAGTAAGGATTGCAGGCACGCCAAGGTTACAGGAAAACTGCTGTTAGTGTCAACTGTAATGCTAGTCTTAATATTTGTCTTAAAGTGTAAGGTTATGTCCAATTGTTTAGATACACACCACGAAAACAACAGTCACGCACCTTGACTTTTCCTCATGTTTTGGCTAAACGATAGAGCAGCTGCAAAGCTTGCTTATCGGGTGGCGTCACGGTTTGACGCCCCTTGTAGCATGGGCTAGCCCAAAAATGATTAATATTATATAGGTTGTTGGGTCCAGACATCTTCAGCTTTTCTGCTGCCTGCAGGCAGAGGGGTGAGAGAGCTCTGGACGTGTAATGTGAATTTTACCTGTGATCCTCTGAATAAACCAGCACGGTTATTTTTTATAAAATCTAAAGCAGTCTCTTTCGTCTCATTGAGAGTTCCTGGTTTGAAAGAACCGGAAGAAGCTACAAAGAAATAATAGCTTATACTGTCAATCTGCTTGTTACCCATTAGGTAGATAGCCTAGCAGTGGTAATGTAGCATCGAGTGCAGCTAGTTTTAACTACATTATAAAGGCCTACCGTTAAGTAGTAGGGTCAAGTGGTTACTAGCCTGCAAAAGGTCACCTGATCTGAGATTAACTGAAAAAATAAAAGCTGTTCTCCATGTCGACATTTAATTAAACAGAGATGGTCCATCACATCCAGCTTCTATCTTAATTTTTTAGGAACTCTCTCTTATCTAAGAAGAATTTCTACAACACTATCATATTCTGTCTTTAGTTTAAGTAGTGATAGACCATTTGTGCTGCATGCAAGGTCAGCAACTTCAATTAATCTCTGTCAATGATTATACTGCAGGTTATTCCCATCTGTTTTACACATTGCAAGTGTGGTTGGGCCATTTTAAATGCTCTGGTACAAAGACAGACAGGGTAAAATCAGTCACTGAGAACAAAGGTCATTTGTAGGTTTTGTCAGTCTTATATTGTTTACTTGTTGCCTTATGGAAGAGCATCGCACATGCGCACTGAGAGCCACTGTACTGGAGTCAAGCTCCTGGCCAATAAATCTGATTCTGAAATTCTGTTTTAGCATGTGTATTTGTGTGATAGTGGCAAGCTAATATAAGTATCGAAGGTGATTAGGAAGTTACAATACATTAAAGAATTTCATTGTTTCAGCTAGAATTTATGAATGCCCACTTGTGTTTGGGCAACCAAAGGCTCCCTTTTCCTGTTGTTTGGACACAGTATATTATAAATCTTGAATTTAGTGACAACATTTCTAATAGCTATGTCTTTATGAAGGGGTATGAGTACAGCCGTAGTGGGAATCCTACAAGAGACTGTCTTGAAAAGGCTGTGGCAGCTCTGGATGGAGCAAAGTACTGTAAGTAAGACTATTTGTGTTGGACACTCGTATAGTCATGGCAGGCATATTCCACTGTGACAGGACATATGTAACACTGCAGCACAACAAATAAATGATTAAGGCTTGAAACATCAGTCATAATGGATACACTGTATGCAACTACAGCCTGTGCTTCCAGTGACAAGATGACATAAAAGGGATTTTTGGTCTGTACAGCTTTTGTGCTTTTCCCCCTTGCAGGCATTGCTCTTGCCTCAGGACTGGCAGCCACAGTGACCATCACTCACATGTTAAAGACAGGTGACGGGATCGTCTGCATGGATGACGTGTATGGAGGTGAGGCGCCCCTCTGAAATGTTTCTTTTTTGCCACGTGCACCATTTACAGTCACCTTGTACAAAATTGTCGTAGGTCTGAAAAAAAAAAGCACATTGTGAGTTGATTTTGAATCAAAAGTGGGGTTATATTTGGGAATGTTAATTAAGTCTCTCTTTTAATTGCAAGGCACGAACCGCTACTTCCAAAGAGTTGCCTGTGAACTTGGTCTGGAAGTGTCGTTTGCCGATTGTACAAAAACGGAGCTGCTCAAAGCTGCACTGAAGGCCAACACTAAAGTAAGTCAAAGACTAATGATTCACTTTGTGTTCTTTTCCAAACTTATTTCCTTTGCCAAACTTGAAGCGATCATTGACGTGGGACTTTATGTGATGGATGCTTTGGGCTTTATGTTCAATGCATCAGCAGATGAGGCTTTGTCAGTGTCGGTTTGCCACACCACTGACTCATCCTCCTGAACATGCCCATGCAGTGAAATTACCTCATTTCCTTGCTTGTGTAGCTGGTGTGGATTGAGACGCCAACCAACCCCATGATGAAGGTCGTTGACATCAAAGCCTGCAGTGATTTGGTCCACAAGCACAACAAAGACATAGTAGTGGTCGTGGACAACACCTTCATGTCTGCCTATTTCCAGGTGAGGCTAAGCAGCTCATGTTCTTCTAGTTTATGTAGAAATAAGTGACTGAATGATTAAGTTATGTTTGTCTTGTCCTCTTGTAGCGCCCCTTGGCTTTAGGAGCTGATGTCTGCATGTATTCAGCCACCAAATACATGAATGGTAAGTAGTGTACATTTTTCCATTTAATACATTCTAAATAAAAAGGTCAGTAATTTTACAAAGGCATGGCATAAGGTCATATTACAGTACTGTTAAGGGGAGCAGATGAATAAACAGGTGTCAAAATAAGTGTAGAGAAGGGAGTCTGTAATCTTCACCAGTGACCAGGTCATCATCAGTGGGTTTTTGGACTGTATTTTCATCAAACGAGTCTTTTTCAAGGAGAGAGAGTAAATGTGTATAGTCCAGAAAATGCTAAAACGCATACACGTGTCATTCTTTTAACTCCTGCCATACCGTTTTGCAGGTCACAGTGACGTGGTAATGGGTCTGGCCTCCATGAACCGGAATGATCTCTACGAGCGGCTGAAGTTTTTGCAAAATGGTGAGTAGAACAAAATTCAGCTACTCTTGCAGTCTGTATACTGAAGACATGTCTGGCAAGTACTGTCAGACTTCAGAACAGTTCTAGCGTCATCTGTTTAATGTCATTAATGTGCAACGCTGTATTTGGTGAGCTAGTTAATCCAGGCTAACATTCCCTCAAATGACCAAAACATGCTCCCGAGGCCAAACATCTGGAGCAATTTAAAACCTTCTCAGAAGGTCTGTTTTTGCCTGATCTTGTTTTTAGGAGACTAACTTTTTTACGTACTGTAATCTTTCCTCCGTTCAGCCCTGGGAGCTATACCATCTCCGTTTGACTGCTTCCTATGTAATCGTGGACTGAAGACTCTACACCTGCGGATGGAGCAGCACTTTAAGAATGCCATGGCTGTTGCCAAATTTTTGGAGGCGAATCCCAGGGTGGAGCGTGTCATCTTCCCAGGTAAAACTCTTATTGGGGAAAACTGGACTCATGGAAGCACAACAAGCCACAGGCATTTCGGTGACCTAGTATTCCTCGCCTTCCTGGGGCCAGTTGTCGTTACATAGTGTATGGAAGTATGAGGACATGGTGCACACCATTTCTCAGTCATCTAAGTTGTTGGTTAGAGACTCAGCATCTTTTTATTTGATTTAAAGAAGATTCAACGTAACTGTAATCTTATGCTTTTCCAGTGTATGCTGCACCTGGCCTCAGAGGAAGTCATTTTCTTTTTAAATGGAAATACAGGTAGTTGTGTCAAGCCCAAGCAAACCAGGGCTCCTGAGCAAAACTTGAATCTCGTCCCAAGTTGCAGAAAGGGCATAAAAAATTGTGACCACTAACTTCAAACTGATCAACATAAACCTAACATTTCCTTGGTCGTTTCTTTCATTACACCTGAAGCTACAGGTTGCAAAAAAGAAGCTGTCAAGTTCCTAAACGTTGAAACACTCGAGCCACATACTGGGCGTGTGCCTTAGGTGGGGATTAAAGGATTAGTCTATTTCACTGACCGGTTTTTCATGTTTTCTCTCTCTCGACACAGGCCTGCGCTCTCACCCCCAGCATGAAGTGATGAAGAGACAATGCTCTGGGTGTCCAGGGATGATCACCTTCTACATTAAAGGGAAACTTGAGCACGCCACCACCTTCCTCAAGAACCTTAAAGTAATCTGGCACATTTTTAGTGGCTCCTGTTGTCTCTAGAAGACCAGGTCGTATTTTTCTATAAATAACAGAGGCCCGTATGCTCACTGCTGGAAATGATCCAAGCCACAGTTTTTGTAGTTGGTTACTTAACTGCTTTTTTGTAGCTTGATTTTTCTGTTCCTTCCACTATTCTGACTGAGTTTACAACTATTTAGTGTGTTCTGGACTGTTTTACTTCATGTCCTCTGTTATCTTCTCATTTCAGTTGTTTGCAATAGCTGAGAGCCTCGGCGGTTATGAAAGTTTAGCAGAACACCCGTAAGTATCCCTGCAAAGCTGTATTCTTAACAGAGTAGCAAAATAAATAATTTTAGCTGTGTAGATTTTTTTTTTTTAATTATAAAACTGTACTGAACAATAGAAACATTTTCTGTACTGATGTTATCTGAGATCACACCAGGAGGGGGCAGCAGAGATAAAGAAATTGGAGAAACTGACTTTGAGACACGCTCCTTCAGTTTTGAAGTCCTTTGTAATAAAGCAGCTGTATTTTGCTCATATATACAGTAGGTGTCTCTGTCCTGTTTCATAATTTAGGGCAATTATGACCCATGCATCAGTGCCAGAAAAAGAGAGGAATGTGCTGGGGATTAGTGACACACTGATTCGACTCTCTGTGGGACTGGAGGATGAGGCCGACATTATTAAAGATCTGGAGCAAGCACTGGCTGCTGCTGTAAGTACCGAACATGCAGAGTGCCAGAAAGTTCTTTTAAACAGTATAGTAAAAACCAGTTCTTGACATGATACCAAATTTGTGGAAGCCTGGATATTTTTTTTCAGCTCTCTTGTCCCCAGAGAAAGCCTTGACCAACCTGAGAAAGTTAGGTTTATCTACTCCACACTAATTGGTGAGAAATCGTCAGGGGGAGAGCACTTATTTTCCAAGTTTTGACCTCTACAGAAGAACCTACTGAACAACCAAGACTGAGAAGTGACTTAGATCCTTGTTCTGTGCCAAATAAAATGAGATCTAATCAGAGCCCTGGACAGTGATATTTTTTTCCCCTTCTATTTTTTTCTGATATCTCTTTTTTTGATTCACATTAGCAGATGCTTAGTGTGAACAGCAAGCTCAAAATGTTTGTTTATAGTCAGAGTACCTCTAACCCACATCTCCAATCATGTCCCATTGAATAGAATCCAGGTTTGGCAACACTGGACCTCGATTAGTTTGTGTTGATGCCATTAGCCTAGGGGAATCACATACATTTCCAACCTACACTCTGAATGTTTGATATATTTGGTACGGACAAGAACAATGCAATGACTGGTACATTATTAGTTAAAAGGATCCTGCTTTTAAACACAAACTCCTAATAGCTAATTTATTTTTAATGGTGCCGATGTGTTAAAATGTAAAACCTATAGGCAAACAAATGGGGCGCAGTTTGTAACCCACTGCATAATTCATCGACTCCATAGCAACATTAGGTTTCTGTTTGACGCTGCCTCCAGCCTGTAGACAGATTGCGCAACATTAATTAAGTGCAGAACATTTAAACATTGCGACACTAAACGGGAACGCTGGCCAACAGGGATTATCACCAAGATGTATTTGTACTTAATGCACCACACTTCATCACAGCTCACTTTACACCATAAGCTTTATGGCTTCCATGATGTGAAAAGGATCTAGTGTGACTTGCTAATGATTAATCAGAGGATAAATGGACCCGTGGCTTGGTGTACATTAGAATTACTAGGTTGTATCTAAACTTAGTGCTGTGTGAGATGCAACGACTTGTACTTGTGACCAGTATTTAAAAAAAATTCAAGGTTCCAGGGAAGATCTTTTTAGGAATCTTTAAAAACAGCAAACTAGAATGGATGATCTAAGTTATAACCTCAAGGAAACTGTCCTCATCTAGAGTTGAGAACAGGCAAAATGCCACTGAGGTGTTCATGAGCAACATTTTCATGGAGACCACAAACTGCTCTATGTATCTGACCTGTACAGTGAAGATAAATCAGGCCTGGAGAAGAAGTGACAATTATCTTGGGAACATTAGGATCTATAAAGCCCCACCTCTTCCTGCTGCATGAGCAGACCCATTATGCACTGTGAGGTTTTTGTGTCTTTGCTGCAGTCTGGGGCAGCCTTTTCTCAGCACGGGCCACTGGAGATAATTTCTCCATTTACAGTGGCTCAAAATGACAGTCTGGACTGTTATATGTAATCACATACTCTCCTTTATTTTAGCTTTTTAAAGTATGCCAAATATTAATGGATTCATACAAACACACTCGTGACTTCTGTTATAAATACATGAAGTTGATTTAGTAGCCACATGCATTTTGTCAGTGTTTAACTATGGAAACAATTCAAAGTGTTTCTGCCTACGAGATCAACAGATGGCTCACCAGAAGTGCTACATTGTTCCCAGAATCCACTTTCAAGTTCACTGCTCAGTTACGGTTTTTTCATCTGTGTGCAGTGATGTGCCAGATCTGGCACAGCTTGTCCAGACATCTGCATTGTTCTCATATCTCTTGACAACATTAGGTTTTCTTGCACAACTGTCTTTCTCTGTGCCCTGGAATGGTGGCTGGGGTTGAAAGTAGTTATGTACATTTATATAAGTACTGTATTGTAGCACAATTTAGAGATATCCGCATTTTACTTGAGCGTTGATTTTCTTCGACTTCACATTTTGAAGGCAAATATTGTACTTTTTACTCGACTACATGTATTTGGTATCTTTAGTAACTTTTCAGAATCAAACAAAATAGAGTATAATTCTAAGACTTTACTGATCCTCAGTGTGACATTCCCAAGCCACTCAGCAGTATGTAAAGTACTTCAGATTAAAAGGTAGTTAACATTAGCTCCACTTTACCAGCAGCAACATTAAAGTGATATTCACAACAATGCATCAGTAATTATAATCCAATAATATACTGTACATTAATGTGAAATGTGCCATTCTGCATAATGAGTAAGTATATTTTGATGCTAATGCTTTTAAGCAGCATTTTGAATGAAGGATTTATATTTGTAACATTATTTCTACACTGTGGTACTGCTACTTTTAAATCTGAGTACTTCTTCCACAGCTGGAATAAAATATCAAATATTTAGTTTTTCTGTCCAGTGGGGAAGGTCTGTGGATGGGCGTCCCTGAGCATTTTATATTAGTGATTTTTGAATCAGTCCGTATATGAAGACCACGGTTGGTCGAGACTTTGTCATTAAATTTACATCATCTGAGGTCTAGTGTCGTGGTTTTAGATAACTAATCACCAATTCAGACCTACTGACAACACTGCCATCAGCAGGATATTTGAATTAGCAAAAGATAGTTTTGCCACCTGATCTAGCATTGTGGCCTGCACCTCCTCTCCTAATGTCTCTGAATCCCTCTGCTGTAGCAAATGGAAATAAAATGGAGACAAATATCTGTCATGGCTATCTGTAGTGCCGGAAAAAGGCACCTCTGATGGGTGAACCATTTAATCGGATGAGATGTCAGATCAGACTGGGGCAGTGGTTACATTTCTGGTCAAGAGCCCTCATCCTAGGCTTGGCTTTGAATCCGAGTTTGGCTGTTGGCTGTCTCCAGTGAGACATTTATTGTTAAATGCCAGTTCGGTTGTGTTTTATTAACCGGTGTTCTCTGCAGTGAGCCTTTGGTTAATTTGCTTTTGGCTCGCTTTTTATGGTAGACATTTTGAAATCACACCTTGGCTCATCAAACAAAGAAAGAAGGAACAGTTGTATGGATTGTGCCTTTTCTTCTTAGTGTCACTTATATCAGCTGTATCCTCACGTCTATCTGCTGCTTCCTGGATGTGGACTGTACTGAGTATTGATTTTTAACGGTCAATCTTTCTTTTCCTGTTCTCTTTTAATAGCATCCAGAGAAATGAAATGTCTTCAGGGCATCTTCGAGGCTGGGGTTGAATCAGCTGATGACCAAACACACGGTGCCTCAATTCAGCGCACAAACAGCAACAGGGAACAACTTGTTCTTTAGAAAATACAAATCATGGTATCTGTGAATTATTAAGAGGGAGAATCATTGTAACGCTTGTTTTACTGGAATATCTGTCTTATTACGATTTTAGCTTTTTAGGTTTGTGTGTTTTAATTTTGATGGCTTTAATGGAGCAAAGTCTTATTCAGTGAGGTCTGATACAATGAGTTTCTCCACAAAAAAAAAGAACCACACCTAAATTTTTGATATTACTGAACATCTGCAAAATTAATTTGTCCTAGCAGTCTTCTGTGACACCTCTTCTTCTCTTGTTGACCTAATCCAAACAGTCTAAACTTGAAGTTCATCTATTTTCCAATTCTAAATGGCACAAATTGCTTTGTTAAACACGGCACAGATACACAGATGTGTGAATGAATTCTCATTAGTTGAACTAACCAGACTCAAAGGCAGAGCAAATCCTGCCACCTACTGTCCTAAAGTCAAAAATATTTTCTGTCATGGCTGCTGACAGACTTTAGAGGCAATATCACTTTGAGGAAGAAATATTTACATTTAAAAATGTGTAGAATGTGTTAATGTTGCTGAAATAAGGTACATACTGTGCTGGATACCAATTAAAGAAGAGAACAACTTATTCTTTGAGTTCAAGACTAATTGGGTTATTAACCAATAAATGTGGGAGTGTTGGGTATAGAGTGGCATATTTGGGGCATGTGTGTACCAGCAATGATCATGTTTGTATAGCATCAACTGACAGTTTTTTACAGGAGTATCTCTCAGTATAACATTGTGTGTCCTGGAACATAAAGAATATTAACATAGCTTCTCATGTTGTTGTGTGTATGAGCAGTTGTCTCTTTCTTACTTCAAAAAGTACAAAACATTATGACCATTCTTAGGATATGGAGTTGCTTTTTAAAACACTGTATGGGATTTGTAGAAAATTTAAATATCAATGCTGTTACCCTTTAAGTCCCATCGTTTGCTCGTTCCTTCCTGAAAAAGCTCTCCAGTGAATTTTGTTTTTGACTCATTTTTTTAAAGGGTTAGCTTGTGTCGCTGATGTGTAAAAGGGCATGCCAGAGTCAAGTGCGGTATTGAGGCAAGGGCAGAAACAGTCGTTTTTCAAACTAAAAATAACTATAATTTTAACCACGAAATTTTTTCTTTGCGGCCCAATAGCAAATGATCCATGGACCGGTACCGGTCTGGGGACCCCTGTGTTACATCACTGTTTTAGGATTATGCTTCATTAAGAAGCATAATTGTCATTTATGTAACTGGCAAATCCATTAAAATCAGTTTGCAGTATACGACTGCATCTCTCACTTCTTGTCAACCATCCTGCTGTACAAACATGAGCAGTGTAATAGTAAATTCAGCATCAGTAAGCATGGCAAGTCAACACGCCACGTTCAATTTAGCGTGGATAGTAGTGAGTTATACTCTGGGGTTTCAGCTGATGGATCAAATGAGCTAGTTGCCATCCTAATGACCCAACCATCAACATTTCCACGGGGAGACTGAAGGTCTCAGTTCTCTGTAGAAGACCAATTATCAGCTTGAAAGGTTTTGGCTCACTGGAACTTCAATTTCTTGTTACCTCCAATCATGTAATGGATTTTGCGTCTCAGAGGAGCATCTGCATCAGCTATTCACTCAAATCTCTCAAACCATTTTGAATTTGCTGTGTTTAAAAAAACACCCCCACATTCTTGCAGGAAACCTGCATGTCCACTTAGACTGTACACTGTAGATTCATGGGAAGTGGTGGGTTTAAATCCAAACAGGACTGACAGAGGCTCCCTATTAAAAGTAAAGGCGCCACTGAGGTGTTTGAAATTCAGTTCTCAACACTCTCAGCCTTGGCTCCAGCAGTAGGATTCCAAGAAAGAATCATCATTCAACTCAGATTTTCATGCAACGCCTTTTTTGGAGAGTACATCTCTATCAGATGAGTCTCAAAAGTACCACATGATAGAGCTGAGTGAAAGCACAAGTGGCTATGTTGTAGCTACAGTTGAAGTCAGAAGTTTATATACATCTTAGCCAGATGCATTTAAACTCTGGTTTTCACAATTCCTGATGCTTAATACTATAAACATTCCCCGTCTTAGGCCAGTTAGGATCACTACTTTATTTTAAGATAATTAATCTGCCATTTCACAGAGAGATTTTTTTCAGCTTTTATTTCTTTCATCAAATTTCCAGTGGGTCAGAAGTTTACATACACAGTATTTGGTAGTATTACCTTTAAATAGTTCAACTTGGGTCAAATGTTTCGGGATGCCTTCCACAAGCTTCTTACAATAAGTTTATAGCCTCACTTTTTAATGTAGTACTTACAGATGGGTGCTTTTTCATTATCATTGTTTTTATTTATTTAAAAAACAATGGCATAAGCTTTACTTGGCATTTTGATATCTGTTCTGTCATGTGCAAAAATGTTGTGGTGCTGCAAAATCAGTTAGCACTAGCTGGTCAGTTACAGTTCAAAATATGTCTAGATATCCCAGTTTCAACAGCACTTGACTGACTCAGTTACAAGGAGATTAAAATACAGTCACTGAGCAGCTTTTGAAACTAAATGTTTATATATAACCAAAGTACCAAAAAAGAAAAACTTAAGCCCAGTTTGGTTTGGTCTACACTTCCTTGACAACTGAGCAAATACCATCTGCTGATGAAAATCATGTGATATAATCAAAAGGTCCAGCACAGCTTTTGTACAATGTGCTGAGATTGCTTTCTCACAATTTGCCCAGTTTTAAATAGGAAATTGTTGCTTTTTGTCATACAAATCATTAATATGTGATTACTAGCACCTAACGTTGCTGGTGATCTGGTCTCACAAAAGTTTTACTTTTGTTACTCATTATTAGATCATGCCCAACTGGAATAAATGAATGATCTATATTGTTGGTTTGGTAAAGTAAACTGTCTGATCAAACACTGGAAGTAGACTGTTTTGCCTCATGAGCTAATAAATGTTCTCTGAACCCATTAACTCTCCATCACATTAACCAGTTTGTTTGCAAGGAGGAGACCTAAGATTAAACTGTAACAGTATAATTTGAGTGTGTGTGCTGTTTTATTGCCCATGCAAATTATTGTAGGTAAATAAAAAGGTAAATAAACCAGTTTCATGGTTGATTAAAGCCCCATCTGTGCCCGGGAACATTAAAGAGCTACACTGAAAAATAACTGCAGTCATATTCCCAGTACAGATCTAGTTGTGTGTTCTCTGTCACAAAGTCGAACAGAGCATATTGTCCTTTGATTTTATGTAATAGGTACTAATAAAGGAAGTGAACCAGAGACCAAGTCATGTATTGCTGACCTTCAGAGTAACAGATTTCATGTACAATGTCATGTAGTTTAACTGTTATGAACAAGCACATTGATGTTCATTTTTACAGCATAACTGCCCTGCTTTGTTCATTAATAATGGCCATGCAGCCCTAAGTGTCAGTGCCACCGGCTTGCACACAAAGACGCTGTAAATTTCTTTGAACATAAAAATGGGCAGGAAATGGCCATAATTTTCACTGATTACTCTTCAGCAGTAGAACAACTATCCACTTGAAGCCACACAGTTTGTATAAAGGATGACTCAATACTTCATTATTAAGAGTCCCAGGTTAAAAAAACAAGTCAATTGTTAGGGGCTGATAAAAGAAAAAGGCCATATGGATGTCATATTGACAGTGTCAGCTCCACAGAAAACAGTAATTATAAATCTCAAGTGTTTCAACCTCCATTCTTAACCACTCAGCCTCGGAAAGGGAAGCAACATAATTACTCCTGTTCTGATTTTGAATAATGTCAATTTTGCTCCTGTTCTGGGAAAACCAGAACAATGTTAACCAATTTATACCCACAACTGAACTGCAACTGAGTCAGCAATGTGAAAATAGACATTTTTGAAAATTTTGGTTGATTGTCTCTATTATGACTCAGTCAGTGGGTGTATCAGATATACTCAAACTGCTGAAATAAATGTTTTACCATCAAATCTCAAAAGCTCTCAAGAGCATTTTATTTCCAGATGACCATTGATTAATATACTGAGGTAATGCTATCGTTAGAACACACAAGCGTGATATTGCAACATAGCCAGCAGTAAATAACCAGGAGCGCAGCAGAAGCTTGCAATGCAAGCAGTGCTGCTAACTAACTAAAGCAATGATGTAGCCAGAGTTAGCTTGTTAATGTTAGGTAGCAACCAGAACAAAGGTTAGTACACACTTTTTTTTTTTACACTAAGCTTTGTAACAGTGCAGAATAAATACCACCCTCATCATAAATGCATTGTAAAAAATGAAGCAGGCCTTGTTTCTAATTATTACCCTCCATCTGATCTATGCAATTTCCAGAGAGTCATCAATTTGCCATATTTTTGTGCTGCCCCTCCAGAAAGAACAAGGCTCAGGCATCCATCCGATTAGCAAGTAAAGTCCTGAGTAAGGAAATTACTTGCCATGGAGGAGATGAATGCATCGACAGTTTGAGCTGGAGGGAATATGTGCCCTGCTCTTGATCCTCTCGAGGTGAGATGCTGTATCATTTATTTATACTATGATATGTTTGTGTTGTTGATAGGACAGGCAGAGCAGCTTCTTTTCTTCCTCGGTCTGGATTAGTTTTCCCAGAAGCCCTCACCTTCACTGTTAGAGATTCATCATCCTGTAAGTAAAAAAACATTCCATCCAGGTCACATACAGTGTAGCACCTCCTCCTCTGTCCTCACAGAGAAGCGCGACCATCAGTCATTCAAACTGCTGTGACTCACAGGCAAGAAAGCAACGCATTACCGGATACTGATATCATGAACACAAACATTGTGATTAAAGGTTTGCTGAACAAGAAGACAGTTATGACTGTCTTTAGAAGAGACCGTTTGCAAACATTGGAGTAAACTTGCAAAGAGAGCAGCAAGAGAATCAAGTTGATCAATGGTTAATCACTAGCACTGCCAGAAACCAACTATAATGACTGCAGGAGTACTGTACTGGCAAGCATTATGTATGTCAGTTCATTTAAATTTACTTTATTTGAACAACAAGAGGAAAGGGAATAACAGCTACAGAGAAAGGCAGAGCAAATGAAATGAATTTTAAATGATGTATTTTTGAGAGGGATCATTTGAGGTTCAGATTTTTACTATTTAATTGGTATAACATGTTTCTGTCAGGGCTGCCAGTACGCACGGTAACATTTATGTAAAATAGTCCAAAGTGTGGCACAAAATCTGGTTTCAAGAACAGCTCATGCCACCCTAGCTTTCTCTGGACTGGCTCTGTGTTAGTACTCAAGCCACTAATGCATGGGGTTAATAGCACAGCATCCACTTATTGGACCTGAACTACCTCAGTACGGCAGGTGCAAAGCCTAATGGGAAAGGGGGCACTGGCCCACCCAGGCGACGTCTTTCACATTGCCGTGGAAAGTGTAGCTGTTGCCTATAGAAGTAAGACATCAAGAGACTGATCCCATGTCTGCACTGAAAATGCAGTGCATAACATCTAATGTGCACCTCACACAAGGTTCATGCCTGTGTCTATGTTCACTTGTGTGCTAGAAGCACTCTGTGTACAAGAAGCACATAGAGGAGGCTACAGAAACCCCTTGGTGAAGGGAAACAACGGCCCGAAGCTCCAACAAATAGTAATGAGGGAATTGTGGCTTGTGCCATGCTCATGATGGGATCCGGGGTGGTCTTAAACAACGGTGTATTAGTAACCACTGTTATTATGGTCATCAGTTTGTGGTTGTTGTATTTGTTTCTAATATCATTATATTTGTTATATATTTTAAGAGGGGTTTGTATTCATTTATACACTCCCTCCACCAAAACCCAGATACACTGGCATACACGCCCACACACGCACACAGGTATTAGCAGAACTGATTTGTCAGTGTCTTCCTCTTCTTTCTTTCAGCTTGTTTGTTGGTATGTATGTTGTTTTGTTGGTAGCAGACGTTTGAGCCACCTTAGTTTAGCGGCTGTATTTTCACAAAGTGCTTAAATCAAGGTGTTGATTCAACTGTATAATCATTTTGGAAGCTGTACTTTATGCTGTACTTTGTACTGCATTATGCAGAGAGGTGTTTCTTCTTCATTTAGCCTAGCCCCACTGATCTAAATGGGCTGGAAAAAATAAAA